GTAGTCTCCGGTTTCCGGCTCGCTTCCCTTTAGCACAACGATAACGCTGACAGTTACGTGTTGAGGGGTGAAGCAATTAACAGATGTATTAAGAGATGGAAGGGGAAACAACCCAACCATTACGCTAATTACAAAAAAGAAACAAAAATAACTTAACATTTCAAGTTTGCGAGATATTTACAACTTTTAGTAATAAATAATTAAAACATTTTCGACCCAAATTTTAAAATTTTAACATTTTTTTAACACTGATAACTATTACTTACCTGCTGATAACACAGGTTAATCGTTAAAAAAGCTCGTAGTCGCATGTTATCTAAATTATTGGTCCGACTATGCATCGAACTAAACTCGTATGTAAATATTTGTGATAGTGAAAGTCGTCGTCGACGTAAATATAAAGAATAAGTTCAACAAATAAGTTAAAATGACACATTGGTAAAATAACTGTCAAGTTAAAATGACACAGTGGTGAAATTAATGTCATGAATGACAACTATAATATACCTATGTATGTATTTAGCACACTTGTAACTTGTTTAAACGAGTTTTACAATACTAAGATTTATCTAAACAACGAATTTCGATTTATTCCACGTAGACTTACCTCAATAAACCTACCCGAGTAAATTTATTTTGTTGAACACACCATGTTAATTAACGTTGGTAATAATACTTTGTATAACCACATCAACGTCGTCAACTTTAACTAAAATCAGTGATGCACAAATAATAACGTTTCGTGCCTTATGATAATAAAACTTGTTATAAACATAAACATGTGTAGTGGTCAGTACTACCAACAGTTTATTTTTTCTTGATATTTATAGGACAAATCTGTCAAACCGTTTCTGATTGGTTCAAGGTCGAAATTCCATTCGCCCATATCAAATAATGCAAGCAAATTTATTGACGTGTACTATATAAAACGAGTTAAAAATCTATTATGTTCAATGAGATGTATTAAGACATTTTAGATTAAAATTCGAAAAAAAATGTAAGTGTATAGTGGTGCCCTCTAGTGGACATAAACGAGTGATAAATTGCTCGCGTGAAGTCGGTTCATGGAGGACTTACGGTATGTAAATAAGACATTTTTCTCTTTTTTAAAAAGCTAAGTTAAAAAATTTCATCTTTGCTTTTAATCTTATTGCTGCATTTTATTGTTAATAATTATCTGTCATAGCTAATTATCGAGTTATCAATAATTATTTTTGATATTAACCTAATTGTAAAGATAACCTAAAAGTTATGTCAAATTTTTAAAGTAATATGGGTACGTTCATTAATTGTCAACATTTATGACATTTTATGTCACTTTTAAAAATTAGAAAATAACGATTTACTCAAGAATGGTAGTACAAATTTCAAATATTTTTGATGATTTATTTCACTTATTAAAATAGTAAATAAATAAAAAGTTCTTTTCTTGCAATTAACCATCGCAAATGATATACCAACTGCTGGTTCTGGTCCCACAAACGCTTTACGTTGCCCTTTCATGCTAGCTCATCTGCTGCTCTCTTGCCAGCAACCCCAGAGTGACCTGGGACCCAGATCAGAGCGATCTGTTATCACAACTCAGTGTGTTTAAAGTTCTTTTACAGTCATTACACAGAACCAACACCGTTTTCACGACAACATATCTACTTTTGCTTTTACTCTTCCAAGTGAAATAGAGATTTTACAGATCGAATACAGATTTTGCAGTACTATAGTACTTAATCAAAATAGTTCTTTGATTAGATTAAAAGAATTGAAACGTAAATTTCGTCTCCCCAATTGGGTTTTTATTTAAATATTATCAATAAATGATTGAGAGATGATAAAAGAAAAGCCGACTGAATTAATTCAGTGACGTATATTATGCATTAATAATCGGTGATATCTTATCGTACGTCACGATATATGTTCGGTATTATTTGTTATTGTGTCGAGTGCAACGAACCAAAACAGTGTGAGTGTGTAGTTTATAGTATATTATGAATTTCGATTTTCGCCCCTGATACGTTGCTGTCGGATATCGAACAGTTGCGGTTTATAACTGCGTGTTAATCTTTACAGTCATAAACATCTAATATAAATTAACGATCTCACCCAAAAAAATAATAACAATAATAATTCGGAAAAAGATAACTTCGTTTTTATAGGTTAATTTCGTTTCATTATATATTTTACTTAATCAAAATAATATATCATTTGAAATTAAGTTAATTGTATGAAGTGAAGTTAGCCGTAGACGACTATAACCTCAAAAGCTAATGTTATGCGTATCGGAAGCTTCAAACTCCGGAAGAGCAATTAAAACTTATCCGGGCCGCTCTCCTTACTTAAAACTCTCGTCTTGGAAGTACAACTAGTTTGTCATAGTCATCGTCTTCAGGACGTAAATTTACCACACTTTCCAGATGTGGTTTTTACTTAGTTTAAAGTTATGTACCACAAAAAAAAAGTAAATTTCCACGCGACGTCACCTCTTGAATGAGGGAAGAAGGCGGAGGTCGAATAACGCCCTTAATGAAGTTAACTGTAATTGCCTTTTCCGCTTTCAAGCTCTCACGCGCGAGGAGAATCGGAAAAAAAAATTAAAAAAGGAAATGAGTGAAAGAGAGAAGGGCAATTTTTTCGTTTGAATTTCGCTGTGGCCAAAACGCAATTTCAACCGAATCCGACTCGGTTTCGTTTCGCTATTTCCGCGGTGTTTGTTTTTGAGACCGGCATCGATTGATGTTTGTTGCCAATGATAATATTGAGCTAAAACCTCGAAAAGTGAATTAATACGTGCCCCGAGTTTAAAGCGATTTGAAAATTTTTGATTACTCCCTTTCAATTTATGATCTTTTAAATTGATCCATAATCTTTATCTTAAAAAAAATTCAAATTGGACCACCATCAAAGCAAGATTATTTTTAATCCTTTTTAGTCAAAGTTAGTAAACCTTTTCAGTTGCAAATTTGACTTTAAATATTCTAAACAGCAACACATTAATAATAAAATTATATGGTGGTCTATTTTGATATGGTCAAAGCGCCATCAATGTTACCAAAAGAAGAAAAGCACAATATTTTGTAGCGCCACAGAATGCCAAATTAATTTTTGATTAATCACCCACCTCCAAAGAGTTAAGTAACGAAATTCACGTTTTATTTAATTATATGTATTATAACTCACAAATAAGGATGATTTTACGATTCATTCTTTTTCGTTACTAATAAATTTGCAATTAGATTGATGTTATCATTGTTATAAAGCATTTTCAATCAAGATGACAACCAAAAACGATTTAATTTTTATGTCACCATTTAGGGATTTAATGCTAATTTCATGTGGATCGAACCAACCTTCAATTTAATTGATTACCGTGAAAAAAATCAACAATCAACGTTTATATTGATAATAATAACAATAATCATTAAAATTTTGAATTTAAAATTATTACAGCCACAGTTTATGTTAATCAAAACTGGAGTTTTTTTAATTCCGCCAACTGTAAATAAATAAAATTTTAAAAAAATTACATTTTAAAAACTTTTACTAGTGCTAAATTAATTTATTAAGATTAATTAAAGACTTCATTAATAAATCCGTTCATAAACGTTGTTGTATTTACAAGATTTAATTTAAAATTGATTCTTTGACATTTGAGGTTATGTCATTATTTTGACGTGCTAAAGGATTACGTTTTGAATTAGTGAAGTTATTTTAGTTAACTACAGTAAATACGATCTGAAAGACACCTGTTTTCAACAAATTTTATTTAAATTGTATGATTTTCAAAGCCTTGGGTTATATAAAAACTTTTACGAAAAGAGTAAATTTGATGTGGACTCGAGTTCATAAAGCTCGTCGTTTTGTTAGAGAAAGTTTGAAACTTTTACGGAATAAGCCAACGGTCAAAGTTGATATTGAACCTCTTTCTACTCTTCAGCTACCAAAGCGAAGGCCCGTAGTTGAAATCTGTTCAGGTATTTTACATTAACTACGAGGAGATTTTATTAAGAATTTTATTAGCGGTTAAAGAGTAACTTTCAGAAGCAAAAACGACGATTATAACACTTTAAATCGACGGAAGATATTGATAGCTTTTCTTATTTAACTTTCCTTATCGACGATGATGACATCTAATTGCACCTCAACTATAACATTTTTAAATATTTTAAAAATAAAATAAGCTTAATAACCATTAAATTATTTTTGTAACAAAGTTATAAATGAAACATCTTTACGCGTGTATAAACTGCAATAAAATATTGTGTAGACGAAAGCTACAAAATAAGCAGTGAACTTTCACATTAACTTTAATAACGGTTTTGTCCCCGGTTAGATCTTCTTTACTGTATATAACGTAAAGGAGTTTAGTGTTAGTGTGGTTTTCAAAACGCGTTACGACAACTTTAAAGCACGTTTCTTATTCAAAAAATATTTTCGTGGAAATTTAATGATTTATTTTTGAATTCAAGGCAAAATATACACAATTTATTGTTATTTATACTTTGTTACTTCGTGCTGATAAAATAGATTTAAGTAATAATTTAAGAAAAATATTTTAAGTTGGTATTACGAAATAACACCCTTCAAGTTCTTATGTCAATTTAGGTTATGTTTTTGTTGTCATTTTTGACATATGACACTACCAACAGAAATTTAAATTACATCTTATAACGTTTAATAACGTTTTTTTGGGATAATCCAAGAATGAAATGTATTATTTGTGGTTATTAAGGGATGATTTTGTATAACACCGCATTTGAAATGAAAAGTGATTTACTTTTTCTTGGTAATTAATATATTTTTTTAACTTTCTAATGGAATTTGTTTTAAAGACGGTTCTGTATATAACACCCAAAGATAAACCGAACACAATCTCGGACAGTCAGTCCGTCGGGTCAGCGTCAACGGAAATTGTAATTTAAGACAACAAGATACGCTGCTTCTCTCGGTCCCGGGTATATACTCGGGGCGATAACGAATTTGAAACGCGCGTGTACATTCACACTCACCACGAGCCTCTGGTTTTCCTCCTTCGTAAAAAAAATAGAACAGTCTCACTTTACTAAATAGAACAGAACCACTTCAATCCCACCCTTTAAAAATCGAAAAATCAAAACCCTTTCTTAAATCACCTTTTTTTCTTGGTTATTTCTCTTCTTATTCAGAAAGTTCTTTTGTAGTTTTTCAAAAAAGGTTCACTTCCGGTCGCACAATAAATACACAGAACTAATTTACTTAGTGTTAGCTAAAAGAGATTATTATAACTTAATGAAAAAAAATTTTTTGTTGATAATAGTTCGAAGCGTTGCGGTTTTGTTGTTAACGTTTGGTTTAATCGCGGCGTAAATGTTTTGGAAATGTAGCGTAGAGAGCGAGCGTAAACTTGCGTACGGTGATGACCGATACGATTGCAAAAAGCGAACTGAGAGCCGGCCGCCAGGCGCCGATAAATGGTAGGACGCGCGACTTGACGTGAGCGCGACGGCGGCGATCCTAGTCGGCGCAACTCGTCAAATATCGGTTCCCGAATGGATTCGAGTAACATTAATAGTGATATCTAAAGTGATGCTGATAAAAAATTGTGCTATTACAATTTTTTTATTACTAATTTATGCATTGAAAAACGTAATGGTGTTAACCATGTAAAGATATACAGGTGTTTCAAGTTATAAATCAATTACAATAAAATATACACATAAATCACATAAATGTTGAAATCTATAGATATACAGTGCATTGCATACATATTGCCTCGATATAATGGATCAACATATAGCTCAATAAAAATATACAACACTCTAGCGCTGAATAACATATAAAACTACACTATGACTAGCACTACAACTAACACTAGAACTATAAAACGTTCCGTTTAGCTGTACCTCTCTTATGACGGCTGGTAGGTAGCGCTAGTTAGCATAAAATATCACTATGTTGCATATTTTTATTGAACTAAAACTAGTGCTAACACTAGACCTAGAAGTAGAATCATTCTGGTTTAGCCGTCTTTAGAGACGTGCGGCTAAACACAAATGTTTCTAGTTCTAGGTCTAATGTTAGTTGTAGTGACAGTGCATGTGTAAAGCTAGAACTAACACTATACCTAGAACTAGACTCATTCGGGTTTAGCCGTCTTTAGAGACGTGAGGCCTAAACTCAAATGATTCTAGTTCTATGTATAGAGTTAGTTCTATATAGTAACAGTGCTAGTGTAAAACTAGAACTAACACTAGACCTAGAACTAGAAAGATTCGGGTTTAGCCGTGCTTCTTCAGACTCAGGAATTATTTCTTTTTTTAATTATTTGTTTCTTAACACAGTGTAAAACTACCTTTTTGCAGTTCAATAATAACGTAATAATATGTAATTAATATAATAATATTAATATAATGTATATTATTTATAATTAATACGTCAGATTTTAAAACTGAAATATGCTGTTATCTTCACTGTAAACAATTTTACACGATGATAAAATTACAGCAAAGTTTAATTTTTATAATAATTTTGAAAAATATTATATTTTCCAATAATAAGTTTAAATTGTTTATATTGAAGAAAAAATCAAAAGATATTTTAATTAATCATTATGTACCATAGAATGTGATAAGGAATAGGTTGGAATGCAATCGTATCAATCCAAGAATGTTTATTGGTTGTTTTAAATTTTTTTTTGAATTAATACGTTCATAAATAACATTGATAATAGTAAATAACGTAGTGTTTTGCAGAAAATCATTAATAAACATTTATTTGAAAATGGTGGCTCCATCTATCATAATATATGCAAACTAGACAACAATTACATCTACTTTTACAGGTTTAAGTTGATTTAAACGTTGTTTTTAAACAAGAGTATGTATTTAATATCTTTTTCAATTAATATATTTGGCAACTCAACCTAATTTTTTTATCCTAAAAATATAAATATAAATGTCATTCAGAAATAATAAAAATTTATGTTTATGTTACTTCTTTTGTTTATTTTTAATAATAAACTGAATTTAATTAGCGATTCATTTTATATTCAGTCCCAATTACCAAAAAATTGTTAATACAAATTTTTTTAAATAATTTTTATTTAAATCATTCGCCCTTGCATTCACAGATGGTGCTGTAATGTATTATATTTATATAGAGTTCATTTTGGTAAGTTATTGTTATTAATATTAATAAATCCAATCTTATTTTACATTTAAATTTTTTTTGTAGTTTATAATATTCAATGATATATCTAAAAATCATAAAAGCGAATATAATCTACGAAATTTGTTAAGAATGTTAGCTACAAAATTTTTAATCACTAGATGGCGCTATCACCAAGGTATCTAATAAAATTATAAATTAATTAACTTTTTAATTAGATCCTCTGTTTCAATTAAGAGAAGTATTTTAAGTTTATAATCAAAATGATCTTATTTTATTTATTTTGACAGCTTTTGGTTTGATTGTAATTCTATTATTAAATAAAAGATGTCACTTGGAACAAAAACCTATTTTTTTGTAAAACTTTGAAACTTTAATTTTGCCCTCTTCATATACATTTTATAGCTAAAATAATAATTTTATAATAAAAATTGTAATTATTTAAAAGGAATTAATTATATAATAGTATAAGAAGCATGGATCAGGCGCCATCTATCGTTGCAAACTCCATTTTATTTAACATACGTCATAAGAGTCAAAATAAAGAAACTTAACCTTAAATATCATTTTGATATAATTTTTAAATTTTAATAAAAATGGATATTTTAAATTCGAGAGATCCAAAAGTCTTTAACCAACCCGAATCGGTACGCATTGGAAATAATCTTTTTCGTCGATATCCGGTAGAAATGGCCCATAAATCTGATAACCAACTTGGTCCTTACACAGACAACGATGGTGAGATACGATAGGATTTTTATTAACTAACTATATTTACATTAATTTTTAGATGAAATGATTAATTGTGCTGAATTAGATGATGATGTGGAGATAAAAGTAACAAAAAGTGGACAGTTTTTGACTAAAATTCATGTAGCCCCTTTCTTTTTTGGTTTTATTATCGGGACTCGTGGTTCTAAACGTAAAGAAATTGAGATGGATACTAATACGCGAATTAAAATACCTAAACAAGGCGAAACTGGGGATATTGTTATAACGGGATCTTCAGAAAGAGTTATTTGCTCAGCAAGATTACGAATCAACTTAATTGTTTTACAAATGAGGGAAAAACACCAAGTTACTCATTTTTTATCGATTCCGCTGGTTTCTGATCAAATAAACAAAAATTTCGAAATATTTAAGGTTAAGATTATTTTAACTAATAATTTAATTCATTCATTCATTTTTTTTAGAGTAAATTAATGAGTGGCCCTCCATTAAGAGGTGTTGAAGAGAGTATTTTTATATCGCCTCAAAAATTACATTTAACATTAGCCACTTTTGTTTTATTAGATGATTATGAGATTGATAATGCTGTTGGGGTCATGCATGAATGTCAATCGGAAATTTTACAGTATATGTATAAAATAGTTTAAAGTAATTATTTAAAGCAATTTTTTTTAGTTCACTATTTAAGAACGCCCCACCACTAAAAATAGTAATGGAGGGTATTGAAATTATGAATGATGATCCCACTTCTGTAGATGTTTTATATGGCAAAGTAAAATTGGATGTGCAAAAATATAATTCGAGTTTACAAAAGATGTCCGATTTATTAGTTGATCAATTTGCAAAGAAAGGTATCATTAGGAAACAATATGACAGTGTTAAGTTGCATGCAACTTTAATGAATTCAAGATATCGTAACGCTAAAATCAGTGATGAACGAAATAATGGTAGAAGAGAACAGCGCGAAAGTTTTGACGCTTCTTTTATTTTAGATAAATATAAAAATTTTTATTTTGGTGAAGCTGATTTTAAAGAAATTCATTTATCAGTTCGTTTTACAACAGGTGATGACAAATATTATGAGTGTTGTAAGTTAATTAACTTGTAAAATTAATTTTTTTTAATTTGTATTTTTGTTTTAATAAAAAAATCATTTAAAAGATTTTCTATATTTGTCGCTAGGGGGCGAAACTTTCTTTTTTTCGAAGGCGGGGTAAAGAATACTTAATACGGTTATTTTAATATTTATAAGAAAATTTAATAAATATTTTGATTATATATTTCATTTAATTCGGGTATAAAATGAATATAATTTAAATTTTCAGGGATAAAGACATTTTTAAAATTTCTCGATAGATGGCGCCACTTTTAATTTCACTGCAGAAAATATAAGAATTATATTTTAGTTTTTTTTTTTTAAGAAAATTTTAAGAATATAGAATAAATAAAAATTGGCAGTACAAAGTGAACAGTTTTAATTAAAAATTGATAAAAAAATATAATGTTTTTGAAAAAGAAAAACAATTTAATTGTTCCTAGGTTAACAAAAAAGTCATTTTGACAATGATGTGTCAATGTCAAATTTCATGTACAATTTAAAACTGCTAAATGGAATCGAACTGTATTGATGTTATAAAATGGCATTGTGATTTAAATTGTATTTAACTCATAATATGATTAGATATTATTTTCCGCTTATTGTTAAAAGCTATTTTATTGCCCAAAAGGATTATGATTGTAAAATTTATCTGTTATTGTATGATTAGTACCTGTTTTTATTTTTAAAAAATTACTTGAACTTGAATGAAAAAAAAAACGTCTATAACAATATTTTTTTTAATAATTTATTAATTATAAATCGTAATCAGTTTTCAAATATTTAGAAGACGTCAATCATTAGTACTGATTTAATTTAAAATATATCAAGTAGGATTGTATTTTTTTTCATTAATCCAAAAATATACACGGTGATATTAATATTAATGTACAAAAACATATTTTACTTTTAAATATATAATATGCAAAATCCGTATTTGAACACTCTCCGAAATATTAGTAAATCACGAACTATCCAAGAATGGTAGTAGAAAGGTTCATTATTTTTATAATTTCAAGCAAAGATTTTCATTTTATATGAAATTATTTTATTACTTTTCTTTGTTCATTTGAAAGTTCTAACAAACATTAAAACTAACACTCCGTGTTAAGCCGTCTTAAGAGACGTGCGCTAAACTCGAATGTATCTAGTTGTAGGTCTAATGTTAGTTCTAGTTTTAACTGTGATTCAGTGCTAGGTTGTTGTATATTTTTATTGAACCAATACTAGAACTAGAAACATTGAGCTAGTGTTAGTTCTAGTTTTAATTGTTATTTGGCGCTAGATTATACTGATAGATTATAATGAACTAAAACTATAACTAACACTAAACCTTGAAATCTTTCTACCGTAATTCCAAATTATATCTCCATATAGTTATAATTATTGAAACCCCAAAGTTGGTCTTGAAACACTCGGTATATGTTCTTTTTAAATCACAGTTGGTTATCTTGATTATCCGTCTAGATAACTCTACTGACGTCAAATAATCGAGTACTCGTTAATATTTTTTAAACTTGATGATTTACCCTTCAATATTTCGAAATAACTTAACAATATTTTTATTTATTTCAATCAAAATGATTGGTTTTTTTTCTCTTAAAAATCTCTTAAAAAATATATAATCTGATTGTCACCTCGTTATTATTAGCTACCGATTAAGTGGTCATCCTCTACAAATAATTGCAATTATATTATACCATCCGTTATGATCATAAATGACAAAAAAAATATCATTTCCTTATCGATAGCACTTCTCTACGTAAGTTTAAAATCTCCAAGTATCTTATGCTACTGTTTATTTGTCGTTTAAACGCGCTAACAACCAGTTCACGTTTAATGATCTATTTATGTGCCAGTTTTTAGTTCCTTTTATCATACTCTTGTGGCGTTTCAAATAAAAACTCAAAAGATGTGAATTAATGCGGATGGTTTTTGATTTTAAAACACAAATAAAACGTTATTTCGTAAAATTTTTTTTTGGGAAAAGTGATCTGTTTATTTAAAAAATGTCTGTTACATCTACAACGATAATCCTTCCGGATTATCAAAAATCTCACGTTTATTATAAGGACTACAGATATACTTCAATACAACGAATACATGGTTAGTATAAAACACCTTTTTTATATAATATGAATTAATATTATAACTTTGTTGATTTTACAAGAAGATTTTGACCTCGTCAATCTTTCCCATTTCTATAAACATCCGAAAGGACATTACACATTTTATCTCTTACACAGATACCGTTAGTTATTGTTGTACAAAAGTTTACAAACAGGTTTATCTGAACTATGTACTGCAGACTCTTGAAAAGACGATGTTAATTTAAACAAAAACAATTTTGGCGCCTTGTTTTTCGTTTTAACGATAAGAATTAAATACTTTCAACGTGTAAATTAAAGTTAAACTTTTCGGTTATCATTTTGACCTAATTTTAACAATTAGTGTCTGTTTATATCTTATAATTTCCATGAACGTGACAAAAACAACAGGCACTCATCATTTTATAATGAATAAACATAATATTTACACTGTAATAAAAAAAAATAATAAAAAAATAAATTTTTTAAATTTAACCGCCAAAAATGACAACTTTATATTTTGCGCCATCTATCAAATGCAATAAGAAACAAATACAATACGTCGTAATTTTATTTTTTTTTAATAAAAAATACCAAGATTTATTATTATTGTCATCTTTATCAACTAAATTTAATCTTAACATCAAATAAAATTAATGAGCAGTATTCTAATGGGTGTAAATTTTCCGTTCAGGTATAACGATAGAACATAACCTAAAAAAAAATCGAAAGATTAAAGTTCATTATTTTATTACCAAAAATCGTTCTTTTTACCTTCTAGATATTGGAAAGATGCGTGGAGTGAAACGGGTGGCCCTATTTTGCATAATGACAACGGTTATTCCAACCATTCTAATAGTAACACCATTATATCTACGCCACAGCGTTTTCGCCGATGTTCGTTACCCAGTCACTGAATCAGACGTTGTAGAAATTAAAGAAGGAATATCATCAGTGTTTTGTGATTCACATACACTCGCAATGAATACAAGTTTTAATGCATTCAAATTAGAAGAAAAACCCGTATTGAGCTCGAAGCGTAAACATATTAGGTTGAAGAAATCCATGTCATTACCCGATGACACATTGGAATATTGGGGTTTTTATTTATTGAAAGGAGCGACGGTTCGAATGAAAGTATGTTCAAGGTACGAAGGTTCAAGAATTTTAGTAGTGAGAGGAGAAAAAAATTTAAAAACATGCGGATTAATGGAACATAATATGAAAAAATACGGCCCAACCCTAGATGTAGAAAGTACCAGGGTTAAAATTACTTTCGAAACGGCTGCTCAAGAAATTAAAGATTCCGTTGAAAAAAATAAAGGGGGTGAATTGGATTTGAATACAGCAGAGGAAAATTTGGATATTCACGAAAATTTAGATATGCACAAAAATTTGGGAGTCACTAAAACTGAAAAGTCACATAAAAAGAGACACACCAAACAAAAACATCATAAAAGAAGCGATCATAAAGATAAAATTCTTAAACTTAAAGAAACTTTAGAAGAAAATGAAGAAAAAAATCGTACAAAACGTGAAGTTGGAGTTTTATTAGACGGCAGAATCGAACACGGTGGTAACGCGTTCAATTTTACACCAACTGAGTCTACAGAAAGTGTCTCAAGTTTTGAAAGTGGTCTTTTAGCATGTTATGATGGCTCGATCCTTGTATCTCAAAGTTTTCCACCCAGCAATTTATGCGACAATGTTCAATACTTGGAACAATCTGAACACATGAGTGTCGAACATGAAGTGAATTCCGATGGTTTTTATTATTACATCTTTTTTTCAGACAATGATTTTATAATAAACGACATTCACGCTGTTTTTGATATTTACAAACCAACATATCAATATAGTAATGTGTCAAAAAATTTTGAATGTATTCACAACACAACGTGTACCTTTCCAGTTAGTTTTTGGTCTGATCAATCAGTTATTGTTGAAGTTCCAACAAGAGATGGTATCGATCATGAAGAGGATGATATCACATTACTTATAAGTACCTGTCATCCGAGGAAGTCTGTTTACATGATATTTCCAATTGCTGTGGTATTTTTAGTACTTGGTTGTGCTTTTTTGTAAGATTTTTCTTGTTATTAACTTTTTGTTAAGAAACTAAAGGTTGTGATAAAAAGATATTCCGTAAATAGGTTAAGTACAGTAATAAATCGATGCGGGATAATCTAGTCTAGTAAACATAATTATATTTAAGTAAATATTGTAAGAAAAATAAAAATTATTTTTTATAAAATATAAATAACTAAAAAAGTTTTTTATTTACATAAGCTGCCAAACTAACCTCTTTATTAATATTAAGGTCCACTTTTACCAACTCATGATAAATTAATCTTTGATATATCCAGATCTTAGCCAATGAGATCGCTTAAAACTGTTGTAACCATGGCAACCATCCCGTAGATAATTTATTAATTACGAGGTTGGTACAAGTGGGCCTTCTTGACATAAATTGATATCTTTTAATTTTATAACCTCAAAAACATTTGGAATAAATATGTTTATGTATATACTGAGAGATTTTTGATTAAGATTTATCCACATTTCTTTGCTCCATTTATCAGATTAATTTTTTAAACCCTATTATGATTTAAATTTATCCTTCAATAAATGGGCCTTAATGACAGAAATTGACATTTTTTAATTTTATAACCTCAAAATAATTTGGCATAAATTTGTTTTAATATATTTATTTATTGAGATATTATTGATTAACATTTATCGCCACATTTCTTTGTTCCGTTTTATCAGATTAATTTTTTTAAACCTATAAAGATTTAAGTTTATATCCCTCAATAAAAGGAATCCCGGTGGAAACTTTTTGTTGATACTCATGATATTGTTGTCCAAAGAAATGAAGTAGCGTTATCTCCTCAATATGAATTCGTTCCTTGAAAAATTTCCAACTAACGAAAGTGTAAGCCAATGTACAAAATGGATTTAATAAGGTTATCTAGAAAACAAACATTAATTTTTTAAAATAATCATAAAATAATTAAATTACTTGAGTTCCGATTGACCAATAAAACCATCCAACATAACTCGGATGTCTACAAAGCCTATAAATTCCATGAGTTACTAAAACATGATCGGGTTGTTTCTCACATTGAACCATATGTGTAAAATTGGATTTTGCAGTTAACATTGCAGCTTTTCGAAGAATTTCACCACAAATACATATAATGGCTCCAATATTTGAGAGCCACATAAAACATTTTAGATCTAAAAATGATTTAATTAATATTAATTATCAAATAAATGTATAAATAAAAAACTTACCTGGTAAAAAATAAGCTTCTAAAAAAAATTCAGTCCAAGATGCAACAGCAGCAATGGTATATTCACGACTATGATTAATCACATACGAATCTGTATTAACCAGATTTGGTTGGATAACAGCCATGGATAAATACTCAGTAGTGTGAAAAAATGATAATATACACATATAAACAGCGAATATTTTCCATATTTCATTTCCATAAATTTTTATAAATACACCAAGAGAGAAAACATACCCCAGTAGTACTGCACGAACAGCAACCTAAAACAACATAACGATAACAAAAATATCACTAATAAAAACTAATTTACAACCTGATACGTTTCTCCTTTACATATTAACTTAACAAATACATTTATGAGGATAAAATGACTTGAAATAGCTAGGATTAAAACGAAAATATTTACACTTAAATAATTGTAATTGGCACTTGGTAAAAATGTTAATGAAAATGATAAAATTGTTAATACGTAACTTAATAAAGATATTTTCCCTAAATAACAAATCATTTTAAGTTAATTGTGCGCTATTTTTAATTCCCAAGAAAAGACTTGTTTACATTTTTTCATAAAGCGTTGAGGTTATGTTGTCAAATTTTGATTAGTCAAAAAATATTCAATCAATAAATTTAATTTATTTGTAAATTTACAAATTAATCGTTTTAACCGCGATATTTTAATTATCACTTGCGTTTAAAATCAATTTGATTCAAAAATATATGTAAAATTCGCTTTTATACAATTTAATGCGAATCTCGTTTTGGCGTAATTTTGATTTATTTTCAATTTAATCATAAGCTTTAATTATGTTATTTCTTATAATTTAATAATAAAATCAATTAGATTAAAAAATAAATACAATTTTAATTTTAATGACATAAACGTAACCTCACTTTTTATCCCTTTGACATTTCTATCAACATGCTGGCCGTTTAATTTGGATTTTTTAAGGTAAGGGGATTAAATTGACGTGTTTTAATAATGTTTAATGTTAAATTCTTTCAAAAAATAGTTTATTATGGGCGTAAGAGGTCTTACAACGTTTATAGCTCAAAGCTCGAATAGATACATAAAACCTTATGAATTACACGATACCTACTTGGTTATCGATGGTAATAATTTAGCAGCTCAATTATATAAATGGCACGCAAAATGTTATGATTGCTTCGGCGGGGATTATGATAAATATGAGAAAACGGTGATTTACTTTTTTAAATTATTAAAAGAATGTAATATAACTCCTTTGATTATTTACGATGGTGGTTATGAAGATAGAAAACTGAAAACTGTCTATCAAAGGGTAAAAGCGCGTCTTCTGCAAGCTAAAACGATCGATGCCGCTAGAGAAAATGGAATGAGTGTATTCCCATTATTTTTAAGAGAATTATTTGTTGAGATAACCTTAAAATTGGAATTAAAAGTTGTTCGATGTTTAGTTGAGGCGGATTATGAAATGGCTTGCATCGCGAGGAAATTAAATTGCCCCGTTTTAAGTTACGATTCGGACTTTTTTATTTTCGACGTCGCTTATATTCCTTTTAATACGATCGTAATGCACGGATCTAAGTCTCGGGCTAATTACAAATATGTGGAATGCAAAATTTATAGGGTTGATTATTTTTTGAGGGAATATGGCGGGATAAAAAAAGAATGCCTCCCTTTGTTAGCAACTTTATTAGGAAACGATTACATTAAAGCTTCTGTGTTTAATAATTTTTATAAGCATTTAAAATTGGGGAAACGTAACGGCAAAAATGATCAACAAAGACGAATTAAAGCGGTTATCGAATGGTTAAGAAACGAAGATTTTGAATCGGCTTTAAGGAAAATTTTAGGGCGCGTTAAACAATTTCGGAGAAAATATGTTGGAAAACAAATTATGGGAATTGCAAATAGTTATGTTTGTTCTGATAGTGAATTGATTAAGTTTTTAGACATTGAGGAAAATAATAAAGATAAAAAATCAAAAACGATTATTGACGATATAAATATTGATGCGATTTGCGATGAAAGTGCCGAAAATAACGAAGAAGTTGATTCTGAGGACGAATCATCTGATGATTCTTCGAGTGATGAATCTCCTGAAGCCGAAAAAGTAATGAAACCAGATGATTCGAGGCAAATTGATGAATTACCGAAATATTTTGAAGTTAGATACCAAAAATGTGTTTACCCCGCTACTTTTATTGATATAATTTTTCATAATCGATACATTTTTGTGCCACAAATTGAAGATTTTTGTTGTAACATTCCCTCGCATAACATAAGCTTGGAATTAATGAAAGCTATTTATAAAATGTTGGCTTTAAAAAATACGAAGAAATTAAAATATATTAATAGAAACATTAAAGGAAAAATCGACTCATTCTTTATATTAAAATCACCATTGGATCTCCCCAACATAAACGAATTAGAAAATTTATCTTTGGATGAAGCTAAAAAATATTTTTATTTAGTTTTAAATATTGATAAGGATTTAAGAACTCAAAATATAATAAATGATTTTCCAGCAGATTGGAAATTATATGTGTCGAGTATAATTTATTGGATTAAATGGTCAAAACCGCCAATAAATAATTGTTATATTTATGCGTTGATTTTAACCGCTTTAATTTTACAATTTAAAGTAGGTTATTTCCGAGATGAACGCAAGTTTTATAACAGTTTTACAGCAGAAATTAAAGAAATCGAAAAAAATACAAAAGAATTAACCATAAACAATAAAATTTCAAATGAAGAAGCTTTAAAATTAATCGCAAGAAACGATGAGATTATGACATACAAAGAAATAATCACTTATTTTCACATGAACATTAAATTAAGAAGAAATCCAAATCTTTATGATAAATCAATAATTCACGGATTCGCTCAGTTTCAATCTTGCGCTTATCACATAAAGTATTTAAATTGTTTATTGGGAAAACCATTTGATGATTACTTAATTTCAAAATTTTATAATGGAACTTTAATTTATAATTTAACAATGAATTTTTTAACCAGGCGCGATCTGGATGCTTATTTACGTTTATTTTTGAAAAATAGTCCTGGGGTTTATGCCGCATTTACCAAAATTAAAGTGTCGATTGCTTTGTGTTCGGATGTCTCCTGGACCACTAATGAACGATTTAAACGGAAGAGGAAGCGAAATCGAAGTGGATTTAACATTTTTAAAAATGATAAGGAAGGTGATGCTGCCGACGAAAGCGATGATGATGTTAACATGGAACATTGTGATGAAAATAATCGATTTTCATTATTATCGATTGTTGATGGTCAATAAATACGATTAATTTTGTTATAATACTTTATTTTTGTGTAATTACAAAAGCCAATTATATTTTATCAATTAAAATAGATTCTTACATTAAAAATAATTGTATAATGTAAGAAATTATGCATATAAATTTTTGTTTGTAAAAATGTAACATTAATAAGTAAAAAAATCTTAATATACTTTAAGAGAAGAAACAAAATTTTTTATAAAATAATTTTAAAACATTTATTTCTTAATTAATTCATGTTTGAACACATTTATTAATGTTAATTATTTTAAAATGACATTAAGGTGTCAAAAATGTCGGTAAAGTAGAAACGGTTTAATGTGTCCAAATTTATGTAATGTCATTTTTAATATCAAATTTAATTATTTATACACTGAATTTCACTTAAAATGCAATATACACAAATATATTTCCATAGAAACCAGAGCGTACCTATTTACTTTGTTCCACATAAAATGTAACATGTCTGAATGTATCTAGTTCTAGGTTAGTTCTAGTGACAGTTAACATATCACATATTTTTATTGAACTACAACTAGAATGATCTATACGTTTTAAGGGACACTTATTAAGATACACACGGTTAATTTTATTTTTCTGGTTCAATTTTTAACCCTTTCTGATTTTTAAAATGATTTTGAAATTAAAAGTCATCGTAACGTTAAACGTCATTTTGACGTTTAAATTCACAACACATATCTCTAAAATGATACCAACCTAAATTTTTGGAAATCTTTATTCGTATCATTTTTATAACTTTTTTGATATACATATAGGAATATATTTCGTTACTTTTAGTATTTCAATAAGATTTTTTTTACATTAAATTAACTGATTTATGATTTTTTTGAGAAATTTTCATGTTCTAGGTCTATACTAGCACTATCACTTGAACTAACACAAAACTAGAATTATTCGGGTTTAACCGTCTTGAAAGACTTGCTGCTAAATCCGAATGTTTCTAGTTCTCGGCCTAGTGTTAGTGCTTGTTTTACTCTAGCACTATCATTACACAAAAGATATGATAAAGAAGGTGATGCAGGCGATTTATGGTAACATGGATCATTGTGATGAAAATAATCGATTTTCATTATTATCGATTGTTGATGTTCAATAAATACGATTAATTTTGTTATAATAATACTTTATTTTTGTGTAATTACAAAGGCCAATTAAAATAGATTCTTTAACAAAGTAACGAATAATCAAAAATTGTCAACCCAAGTTATATTAAATTGATTTGGGCCAATTATTTATGATCGTTCGATATTTAACAAGATAAACGTTTTTAATATAATTAATTCTAAGTTTAATAACAATATATAACAAGTTATCGTTTGTTGTACGTTTTTACTCATTTTTTTTGATGGTCCCAAAATTATTTTCAAATTACTTCTATTATTCACACTGTTTGAACAATTTGGTTTGGTTTTAGGATGCAGTGTTAAGTTGCAGTTTATAAGTATAAAAATAAATTAGTTACATTAAAAATAATCGTTGTATAATGTAAGAAATTAAAAGAAATCTTTTTTTTGTAAAAATGTAAAATTAATAAGTACAAAAATCTTAATACACATTAAGAGATGAAATTAAATTTAAAAAACTTATTGCTTAATTAATTCAATGTTGAACACATTTATTAAAGATAATTATTTAAAAATCCAATTTTATTCAAAATTATTACAAAATGACATTATGGTGTCAAAAATGTCGGTAAAGTAGAAAATGTGTCAACATTTATATGTCATTTTTAATATAAAATTTAATTATTTATATTTAAAAATACGTACATTTTGTGATAATCATGGATAAAACTGTAAGTTAATTCATTTTACTGTTGTAATTCAAACATCCCATTAAGCCAATATATTAATTTTAAAAAATATTGATTCTTCGGTGAATTAACATGTAAAAGTTTCAATAAATAGTGTTCTTATTGATTATTCTTATCAAATAATGAAAAAAACCACAAAAAAGGATGTGGTTTTCTCATTTAAATATCAAATTTTTCTTCCAACAATAAAAAGTGCAACAAAAAAAAAAAAAAACTTAACCTAAAAATTATAAACAATTTTGTTGTAAAACAAATTTAAGAAATTTAATAAGCTGGTGATGTAGTGGTTTGTCTAACGGTGACACGTTCGCCTTGTGCAATTTCGCCTCTTTGTATTGATTGAAATTTGAGAAATGCGTCACCCCCGTAAAGACACATTGCAATAAAGCCGAAAACGCCTCCAACGCGATAACCCTCAATTGGGAATGAAACGGCTAATGAGGCAGCGATCAAATAGAAAAGGCCCATCACGCAACAAAAAACGAATTCAATCTTTAACCAGGGGATTTTATAGAATTTTTCGATTATATGAAACAAATAAAACGTGAGGAGGATACCTGTTGTCCAAAATCCAAGCATAGCCACAGTGACGAACCACCCCCCACGGGAATGATAAGCATTTACACCTGTACATTCAATACAGATAAACCCAATTAAGTTTACAGTCTATGAAAAAAAATAAAAAATAATTATTTCACAAAAAAGATACTTCTAGTTCATATTACTTACAATTTGGATACATTTTAAAATCCCCGGTAACGTTCGTAGATAACTTTGATCAAACCTTATATTAGTTTGAACGGTAGTGTTTGAAGAAACTGTTGTTGCTGTGGTATGTTGAGATGGAAATCCGGCTGAAGACATCTTGGGCGACCCAAAAATAATATTTCTTTGTAATCAAATTGTTTTAAAAGTTTTCAAATTTTATGTCTGCCGTTAAATTTAAATTTAGTTCAGGTCTAAAAATTACAAAATCCTGGCGAGAGAGAAATTATATCATTTACTAAAAATAGTGTCCAAGAGAGGACACACATCGATTATTTTCGAGTGGGAGGAGACGTTAACATCTAACGTTTTTCCCACGTTTTCTAAGTCGCTTTAACAATAACCTAAATTAATAAAGAAAAATAATTTCTTACCTTCTCAATTTATAATTTGTTAATCCAACTTTAATTATCTTTATTTAAAAAAAATACTGAATTATGGTTTTATAAGGAACGATTTTTTTACGATTTTTAACTGCTACCTGTTAATGCGGTCGATTTAAGTTGTTTGGTTTACTAACCTCACTTTTCCAATTGGAGGGCGTCGACTATCTAAAAATCGACATGAATATGGACAATTCCTGGTAATAAATTGACTTCATCATAGCAAATAGAAAGAGATGGGTATATCCGACCACCAATGAAACGTTCGTTTAATTGTGTATCTTTGTTTTGAATTCGTAATCTAACACTTTATTTAATAGGTATTTGATTTGGGTTAGTAAATACGAAATAATTCGGGGGATTATTGTATTTTATGGGTTTATCGTGAGATATTTTCGATTAAAAATAGCTTTGTTTAATAGCTTATTAAAAATTTTTAATAACAATTAATTAATCAATGATGATGTTTTTTAGTGTGAGTCAAGGACGTGACATTTTGTAAGAAATTAAAATTTTTTAAACATTATTATAACATTATTCTAATTAACAAGTTTTTTTTTCAAAGGAATTTATTGCTATAACGAAAATAAAAAAATTATAAATAAATAATAGTTTAGCTCTGCCATCTCTTAACATTTTTTAGAACGACAATTACAGAAAATTGGTGGAGTTCAGAAAGATAAGTATTAAATTTCAAAAGCATTTTTAATTTTTATAAATTTTTTTTAATTTTAAATTATTTAATTAACATTAAATCGAATTACAACATTATTATATTATAATTTATCTTTTAAATATCATAGATTGTCGGTAAAGCAGTTTATTTTAATTACTCTCGGATGACATACATGTCATTTAATGACGTTTAAAGATAAAATAGATTTTATTTATTAAAATGAATATTTAAGTTATATTAAAAATTCAAATGTTGTACCCCCGCCAATAGATGTCATAAATATTCAAAAAGCTGTCATTAATAATTTAAAATGAGCTTACACCCAGGGTTAATTCATTTTTAACGAGATTTTAAATAATAAAATATCGTCTGAATCGATTAAAATGGTCTCATAAAATGTAAACCTTCGTCATAAACCCGTCAAATGCTATCCAAGCTTAAAAGCTTTGGTTGAATGCTAGTATAGTATAGGGTTTGGACCACCCACACCGTTGGTATGCGCCAATAGCTTTCGAAGCCTTCGGTCGATTCCGGGCAAATTTTAGTCCCGTTTCGACGGCCGAAAGAGTCACAACAAGTAGTTAGAAATTCTGGAGCTTTTAAGCTCCACGTACGCGTAACTAAAACGGGTTCGATCAACAGTTGGATTTAGGATTTAAACAATTATTGAAACAAAAACCTAAAAAAGGTAAGAAAGTATTTAATTTATTTTTAGATTTAATACTATTATTAAATATTTTATTAAAATTTGCTTGCAAAAATCAACGTTATTATTTTCTTATTTAATTTTTATGTTAATTTTTATTTATGTTAAAATAAAATTTATTGAATTTTATTTATTTTTTTAATTTTATTTGTTATTTTTCCGATACACACCTCCTTGAAACTTGTAGAAAAGCTCGATCGCGTTCGAAACGTTGAAAACATGTTCGATCTCGTTTTCGACACGTTAAAACTATTAACGAGTGTCTGAACTTGTTGAAAACAGGCGTCAGAAATTTTCGCTCGATTGGAGCTTGTCGTTAAAAGTCATTTTAACGTCCATTTAAACTTTTAATTTAGATTGATATTACAAAAATCGAATTATAATCACAATAAAGTCATTAATATGGAGATATCAATAGAATATTTGGAAATGATATAATTTTTTTTTTAAATTTGACATTTTTAACTGTCATTTTTAAGACATGTTTTAATCAATAGCACCAACATAAATCCTAAAAAAAGATTGTCTTCTGTACCCTGAATTGAGATGATTTCAAATCACAACTTTGAATAAATTTTATATAAATAAAATTAAATAAATATGCTTAGACGATTACGACTTTAATAAATTACCGTAGACTAGCATTTGAGAGGTGTGAAGTTAGTCGCAGTGTCAATTTCGGAATTTATAGTTATTTTGTAACATAAAATCATTTATTTCATTCTCTTCTTGATATTGTAGCAGAAGTTTGACTTCCACTTACCTGCAATCAAGAGAGTTAATAAAAAACAATTTCTTTGTCTTATATCTATATCTTTTCTATTTATATCTCTTTGTATTCATAAATGTAGCAGATATGATAAGCTCCTTCTTGTTCGTTGCCGATTTTTATGGGAATATAAAATTTGCGCGAGTTTCGTGCAAGAGGATTGAGAATTTCTTACGGCGACTTCACCGAGGGACATTCGTGTTCTTTATTTTTGCGGTTTGATTGAACTTCATCGGTTTGATTGCATCGCACGAGTGCTCTCAAAGTCGGTCGGTTCGCTTCTTTTGGTCTATTGACTTTTAATGTGTACATTTGCGGACATTTATTTACTTCACATTTTTATAAATCATTATTTTTTGTACATGATGTGTTATTGAAGTTATTGACAACGCTTGAGCTAGTAGTCATGTACTTGAAATACGATCTAAACCATACTTCCATGTAGTAGCGTATTACCTACGGAGTGATTAGTTGCAAAACTAGCAAAAAGTTTATTAACAGAGCTTTTCTGATCTGGGTCTCAGGTCATTCTGGGGTTGCTTATATTCTCTAATCTCAGTCTATTTCCTTGGTTAGGTTTTATGGATCGTTTTTACGACCGAACCAAGAAAAATATCTTTTTATTTCACAACGAGTTTTAATTAAGTTTCAAATTGGTTTTGATAAGATTTTCACTCCACCTAAACCTTAACAAAGAAAATAAATAGTGGATGTTATCTTTAAAGAGTTAAAATGGGAATTAAAACAGCGACTTTTGAGAATTTTAATCAATTTCTAACATTTTTATTCTTTTTCTTAAATTTTTTTTTAAATAAATTTGAAAAAAAAAGTCTCCCAGACGGGGAATCGAACCCCGGTCTCCCGCGTGACAGGCGGGGATACTTACCACTATACTATCTGGGACTTGTAATACTTTCATAATATTTATATTTTAAGTAACCGTGAATTGTATTTAAGTAAATAAAGATTATTTATAAAAAAAGTAAGTACTTACTGCGATATAACCGCTGTGTTCTTACGAAATAAGATTTTTGTACAATATTTATGTTTTCCACCTAAAATTCAAACGTCAACTTGACAGGTGACTTATAGTGAATGTCATTTTGACATATTTATGACAAACTTAATTGTAACAAAGTAAATGCTTATATTTTAATTACCAAAGGAAATTTTAATTGAATCACTGATTAAAATGTTTTTTTGAAAATTTTTTTGACCTCGTCGAAGTCTTCCCGAGAGTAATCTCTCCCCGAGATGCCGAGTAATGGGAGAATGCTAAGAAATACATTAGGGGTGTGAGATGATGGCGCCAGTCTAGGGAACAACCCCCCGTTCCATGTACAACCTCCCGACTACGTGTTTTAGTCGGTTTTATCGATGAGCTTAGACATAGTGTACACGCCCCATTTGATCACACACAAACTTGTTAAGTTTGTTGAGTACATTTTTTTTTTATATAAATTTAAAAGCCTTAAGTAAAAAAAATGTAAAGCTAGAAGAGGATAACTTTGAGAGGATCGAATATCACGCTTGACGTCGCATGAAAATTACGGGGCTTTTAATTAGATATCGTTAGTTAATTGGATTTCAGTTGGGCCTGGAAAATTTTATCAATTTTCATTTTGGGTCAATGACTTTGTATTGTTTAAGCGATGAAATATTAAAAGTTTAACCTCACACACCGAGACCTTTAATAAGTTAATGACAAAAGGGTCATTTCTCTTCATTTCTCTTTCTAATTCCCATTTTACTATTCCCTGTGCGACTCTGATCCAGACAAATGTTCAACCCAACTGTTGTGTATACGGTCTTTCTCTTCATATAAATGAGATGAATAATAAATTTTAACACTAACATTGTATCCCGTAGGTTTTCTCTTTTGGGTAACAATACCATTATGAAAGTTGTAAAATATAATATCACCATGAAAAGTTATCTCATTTTCTTTTTTAAAACATTTTTAGCTTCAATTTACTTAAGTAACAAAATTTACATGTTTTGTTGTTCAATTATCTTAGGAAATTTAATTTAACATCACGCAGGTGGAAATGTTCCAGGTGGTTTTTCTAAACCTGGAAATGTAATCATCTCGAGAAATACCGAAAGCTAGGTGAAACTCTAAAAAGACGTGACTTGAACATCTAAGAACCTTTTCAACCTCGCCTTTATTTACACTTTTATTGGATTTTTCTAGATTTACCTTTCTTATATTATGATAAATAATAACAAAAATATTCCGGGCGTTTTTAGGTAAATAAAATGGATTCCTTAGAAGATGAAGAAGAAAGAGATTCGGTTTATATCGTAGCTCTTTACGCGGTGGTCTCGTTTATTTGCGTTTTAGTATTGATTATGGTGGTTTATGTGGCCTGTACGAAAAAGTACAAATTAAACTGGTTTGAAAAGAATCTTTTAGAGAACGCAGATGGATCAAAAGAGATGACTCATTGCAGGTACGTATAAAATTTAATTTTAAGAGGGAACGATAAAAATTGCTTTTACGGTTATTATACCACTTAAGCTTCTTTTTGTGGTTATAGTCAAGAAGCTTTAATGGGTATGAACGAATCAACGGCCGGAAGTAGTAAAATTTTATATCCTTTACCGCCTGAAAGAGGAAAATTTTGGATACCACATAATTTACAAATAAATTCATCGTGTCCTAGTGATATCGATTCAAGTCCTGGTGAATTAATAAGATCACCTAAAAATGATTGAAATTTTAATCATTTATTTTAACAGATAATTCTTTACCGACAAGTCCAACATCATCAACAAGCCTTCAACCTTCTCCATTTTCTGGACCAATCGCTATAGCGCGAAACGACACTCAAGTTATTTTAACAAACAGCAGTCCTTTACGACCAAGAGTAGCTTCAATGCAATCCAAATTGGATCATACGAAAATTGATACCTCTTTATATCAGAAAGAATCCCCGGGAGAACCCGAAGACGTCAGAGGATCCATTCATCTTTCTCTAAGTTACGATTTAATAGCGGGATTATTAACTGTAAGATTAATTGAGGTAAGTTTCATTTTTTATGTTGGCATCTCTAAATGTTATTAGTTATCTAACTTCACATTGACTTACGATCTAAATTTTAAACGTCATATTTAATTTTTTTTAGGTTATAAGTTAATTTTACATAATTTTTTTGGATTGTGTAATTTATGTTTGTTTTTGATATATGAGTGTGCGCTCCCCACTCAACATCGACAAACGTGCAATTAAATCCAGGCGTTGATGAGAGGTTCCCTCTCAATGGGATCCACCGTCGTGAATTGTGTGTTTAATGAACAGTGGCGGGGGTGTGCGATCGTGATTAAACCTCGGCAGTGTAAATTTCGGTGTTTAAAATTCATTATATAAACGGATTCGGGTTTATTTAGGATTTAAAGTAATCCGGATTTAGAAATAAATAAATTTATCACGATAAATAAATAATAATTTAATCCTTTGATGAATTCGATAATCAATCAAACTAAAATTTGTAGATGTGATTTAGTTATTAATTTATTAAACAACACTAACTACAATAATAACACCGTTAATGTGACAAATTTGACACTTAACTGTCAAAGGTGACAGTTTCAATGACAAACTTCACAAAACTCGTTATGTCAACATGACGTTTATAACCTCAATGAAGATATCTTTCTTTATAAAAACGTTTTTTGTGTTTTAATTAACTCTTAAAAGACAAACAAAGTAACGGAATTGAAAAAAAAACCTTTTTTTTTGTTATCACGTTTTTATATCTGCTTTTGTCTAACACCAGCTTTTATGAAGCTCGTTTTGCTGTGTTTACGAACTTTTTTAGAACTCGTTTTTTTTGCTATGTTTCAGGCTCACGACTTACAAGCAAGGGATTTTAGTGGGACCGCGGATCCTTATGCGAAAATTAGATTGTTGCCAGATAAAACGAACGTGTGGCAAACAAGAATTCACAAAAAAACATTAAATCCCGGTGAAAAATAAATAAGTAAAAAAAATGTGAAAATAAAATTGTCGTTATTTAATTTTTAGTTTTCGACGAAGATTTTGTATTCGAAGTAAAATCAACTACTCTTTCAAGACATACTTTAGAAGTTCTTTTGTACGATTTCGATGCTTATTCGAGGCATCACAACATTGGAGGAGTTCAACTTCCACTTTGTAATATTGATTTGAACGAAAAAGTTAATATTTGGCAATGTTTAACGCCTTGTTTCGGACATGACCCGAAAGTTGATTTGGGCGAATTAATGGTTTCTTTGGCGTATTTACCATCGGCGGAAAGATTAACTGTCGTTGTGATTAAAGCGAGGAATCTCCGAATTGTCGATGATACAAGAAACAGTTCAGATCCTTACGTGAAAGTGTCTCTTTACCAAGGAATTAAGCGATTAAAAAAGCGTAAAACCGGTGTTCATAGAAACACGATAAATCCGGTTTTTAATGAAGCATTAACGTTTGATATTGACAAGGAATCACTGAAGAAATGTCGGATTGAGTTTAATGTGTTACATGATAGTTTATTGGGTGCTAGTGAAATGTTGGGTTATTGCCGCGTTGGAAGAACGAAAGAATGTAGACCGGAAGAGAAAAGTTTTTTTATTGATATGTTAAAAAGTAAAACGGCTACAGCTCAGTGGTTAACTTTAGCCGATGATCCAAAAATGCCTCCGTAAAAATAGTAATGTTTAAGAAATTAATATATATTACAAAAAATGGGGTATTTAAAAAAACGCTTCGAGAATATACAATTATATTAAATAAAACAATTAAAATATACAATTTTATGTGGAAAACTGAATAATATCTATAAATGGTAAGTATTTACTAGAGTATTTATACATTAAATTAAATGAGATGTGAGAAAATATAAATATCGAGAGGAAAAATATTTAAAAAATTAAATGAAGAGATTTATTTAAGAAAAATATATTTATTTTTTAATTTATTTTAAAGTCAAAATAAAAAACGTATCTCTATTAAAAAAAGCTTCGTTTTATTGTACATTCAAAACGCTTTTTATTAGCAAATCAACTCGGAGTTTAATGACCAAAACTTTTCCTATTAATTAACACATAACAAGTTTATTGTCGTCCGAGCTTATCCCACTAAAACTTGTTAACCACACGTTTTCGATTTAATTGACAAACTTTATAATGAAAGTTAAATCGAAACATTAAAATATAATCTAGTTAAAATAAGCAGAAAAAGTAAATGAAAAACATAAATCTAAATCCAACTCCAATCAACACAAACTTTATACAAAAGTTTCAGAACTTCCTCAAGTTCTGTTCTAGGTCTTGTGTGTGTGTTCTAGTGATAGTGCTAGTGTAAAACTAGAACTAACACTAGACTTAGAACTAGAAACATTCGGGTTTAGCCGCACGTCTCTCAAGACGGCTAAACCCGAATGATTCTAGTTCTAGGTCTGTGATAGTTTTAATTGTGATTCAGTGTTAGGTTGTTATATATTTTTATTGAACTAACCTTAGATCTAGAACTAGAAACCTTCGGGTTTAGCCGTCTTAAGAGACGTACGGCTAAGCAGACCATTGATCATCTCCTTTAAAGCATGCCCCGCAGAGTTAGACAGTGCATAAACATTTTATTAATATAAATCGTTGCTATTTCTTTTTCAGTTATTATGATTTACTACTGACTACACTAAAACAAATTACTTGTAAACATTTCAGCTTTATGACTCAGCTCTTTCGAAGTGTTGCAGTTTTTTTAGCATATAGTTTATTAAACATAAAACCCAATCTAACCGGATCGATAGCTAATATAGAGTTGAACAAGACGTTACAGAAAATTTACAGAAAAAAAGACATTAAACATATTTTATTCATTGACTATCTATAATCGACTAAAATACGACGAGAAAACAAAAAAAAAACAATTTTCTGTAATTAAACTCTAAATAAAAAGAAAAAATTATGTAGCCATATTTTTAATTTCATCTAATAGTTGTTTCGCGTGAATTGCCGTATCTATTTTACCAAACATTCTGGCTAATTTCTCGCTTTCTTCCGCTGAAAGTTGTGCTTGATCATAAACTCCCATTTTCATATAAATTTTAGCCAATTTCAAATAACATTTGGGTAAATCCGCACTGCTAATACCTTTCCCCAACATAACAGCGGTTTGCATCGTGCGCAAAGCAATATCATATTCGCCCAACTCCATGTTTAAATCGGCTAAAGTATACAACATAACCATTTCTTGATATGGACTTAACCCCTTAATTTTATTTGAATAATCGTAAGCTCGATCAATCATTTTTTTCGCTTCTTGATATCGTGCGTTTTTTATCATATGAACACCGTACCAAAACAGAACGTTAACATATAACATTCCTGTTTTTGTACTCATATCGCCGTTTATTATTTTTTCTTTTTGTGCGTTTAAACAGGTTTTAAATCCGATTTCAGCTAAAGCATTTTCTTTATAGTTGCTGTAAATTCTTGCAAGACGTAATTTAAAATCAATGATATGATCGTTTGTGTCTGGAACACCGTCTTGAACCATTTTTTCGATGACAGTAACTAAAAGACGTTCTGCTTTTTCTGAATCACCTTGAGCGAAAGCGATACTAGCCAAAATATCGTAAATAAACGGCATTCCAAATGAAACTTTATAATCATCGCAAATTTTTAATCCCATTTGAAGTAGAGCTTCCGCTTTATCAATATCACCTTTTTCTAAAGCAATTTTTGCCAAAACTATTAAATGAGTAATGTTGTCTTCAATATCACTAGTCATTTGATCAGATGGTCCATCGTTTCTTGATAGCATATTAATTCCGGGTAAAATTCCGGATGCGATGTATGCAAATAAATTTCCATAATTAATAGGTTTACCCCAAGATTTAGTTTTCGATTTATTTGTAAATTGATAATTTTGAAATTGATTTTTACTTTGTTGCTGTTGATAAAGTGGTTGTTGTTGTTGATTGATGGGAGCGGCCCGATATTTTCGGACCGGTCCCTTTTGGTTAGCCACTTTTCTAATCAGTTGTTGAATACCTTTCGTTGAAAAGAAACTAGTAATCATTAAACGTCTTTTTGATCTACTTCAAATTTTGCCCCCCGCATGACTTCTTAATATTAATTTTTTCGATATTTTTTGACAGGTTAAATTTCATTTTTTTGTGACGTTTTAAAATTTTTTTTTGGTTTACTTGATTTTAAATCATTACCAAAGCTTACAACTTTAAACAATAATAAAGAAAAATTTTGGAGAAGTAATAATACTTCAATAACGCAATCAAACAATCTTCTCGCTTCATACCTTACATGTATATTATCAGAATAAATTTCCATCAAGTTAAGAGTACGTACTACACAATAATGCTTTATTTATGAGACTAAAAAATCGATAAACGCACTCTGTTGAATAAAACCAGAATTAAAACAGTGACGTTTACTCAAATAATTTAAAACAGAAATCTATCTACTCTTTGCCAACATAGGTAACATTTTGAAACGTCAAATGATTAGTTAAATAGTAGCGACATCTAACGAGAATTTTGCACTTTGAAAGCAGTATCTCGCCATTCCAAGTAGATAGTAGTCTTTTCCAGCAGTATTTAGGGTTAAAAACGTTTCCGAAGAATTGTTAAGTTAAAATAAATCGAATATTTAATTAAATAAATATATAATATATAAAATAAAATTGTTATTTTACATTTTAAATTAAAATAAATTGAGAATAAAATTATAAATAAAACTTTTTTTACTTTAAATATTTTTTAGCAATAAAAGGAGAAACATTATCATCAACATCCCCTTTACTCGTATCCGATTCATCCGAATAATCAGATTTTGAAGCTTCCGAATAAGATTCGTCGTCTTCATCTTTGGAAGAATCCAAAATTTCCTCACTTTTTGAAATTCTTTTATCTCTCATCCCAGAATTTTTTGTCGTTGTTGGAACTCCAGGAAATTTCTTTTTTGGAGTCGAAAAAATTGAACTCAACGATCCCAACGATTGAGATGCTCTGAATAAAGAACGTTTGCCTTGAGTGTTTGATGATGATTCTGGTAATCTTAAAGATTTCTTGAATTCCTATTAAAAAAAAATAATACAAAACAATTAATATTTATTGATGAGAAAGGTGTTTCACAACTTATTAAATATTAGTTACCATTTCAAATTTTTCCCTAATTTTTTGAAAGTCCTTTAAAAATAAGATTTTTCAAAAGAAATTATTGTTACATATTTAATTAAAATAAATTTACCTGTAAATCAGATTCCTCATCAATTCTATCAACAGCTTTATAAGCTTTAGTTAAAAGCTCTAAACATTTTGCATGATACCCAATTTCTGTTGCAACAAAATCTAATAAAATTACTTTTAAATCGTGTAATTTTTGCTTTTCAAAAGACGTTATTTGTTCTTCTAAATTATTTATAGTTTTTGAAACTTCCGCCGACGCCTTTACCAACTCTGATTCAGCTTGAACAATTTGTTGTCGATTTCTCGGATTTCTTTCTTTAGCTCGATCTAATTGTCTCTTCCTCGAAATCTCTTTAGTTCTCGCCGCATAAATTTGTTTAACTTCATCTTTCGCGTGTTTACAAATATTTTCATATTGCGAAAATTCATTAACCACTTTTTGGTCAATATTTTGCGTTCTAACGTCGCCGTAATCGCTTATTGACGAGATTTGTGTGGCGAAATTTATCAATCCGTTACTTAACGATTTATTAACCTCTTCGGTTTCGGCGTAAGCTACGATTACTTTCGATAATTCATCACCTTTGTCTCTTATTCGGGCGACTTTTCGGGAATAACCACTAAAAACCGAACATAATTCTGATATATTTTTTTCCACCGTTAATATACGATCTTGAATAAATTTTGCTTCTTGTTCACTAAAAGAAAACGATTATATATAATAATGATGATAATAATAAAGTTATTAATTACCAATTTATATTTTTCATTCTTATTGAGCTTAACATATTTGTTCTTGGTCACTAAAAAGTCAATGTTATGTGGCGTAGAAATTGTTGTGAGTGCGTTGCCATGGGGATGTTATGGTTGAGTTATTTTTAACGGTTAACCTAACTAATAAGGAAATGTATTCTTTTTTATAATTCACCCCAATTTGATTATTTTTTTTATATTTTATTTCCATCGTCAATGAATGTTGGGTAAAGTCATGGGGGATGCTCAATGCCAGGTAGATTAGGTTAGGTAGTTCTGTTTACTATGGTTAATGACCTCCAGGTAAGAAATGTTGGGTAAGGTAAGTTTTATTTACATTCAATGAACTTCCGGGTAGAAAGTCCCAAGATGTTGAGCTAATCCAGTTTATTCTCCCAGGTAAAGAACGTTGGGTATGGTCATGGAGGATGCTCAATGCCAGGTAGATTGGGTTAGGTCAGTTCTGTTTAGTACGGTTAACACGTTCGCTGCCGAGCGACTCCGTTAACCATGGTCACCATGGTTTAGATACGAGTTAACTCGTAGTCGGCAGCGAACGTGTTAATGACCTCCAGGTAAGAAATGTTGGGTAAGGTAAGTTTTATTTACATTCAACGAACTTCCGGGTAGACAATGTTTGGCTGTAAGATAACGAACATGAGGTAAAGGTATGGATGGTACTCAATGTTAGATATATTGAGTAAAGTTAATGATCTCCAGATAAGAAAAGTTGGGTGTCAACACGAAATGTCAAATCGATGATAATTGTATCTGGAAAACATAACCTAGCGGTTAGTGGTGAAGTTAGCTTTCGAGAGATTTCTTTATGTAGTTCTAATTCCTTTTTGGGAATTTTGTTGTTATAAAAAATTTTCTACTAATAAGTTACAGTTAGATTATCACTGCATTATTATATTATTAATTAATAAAGAAATAAAAAAAGAATTGAAATTTTATTTTGAAGTGCACCATCTATGAGACAACTACCAAACGAATAAAATGATTTATGTGCTTTATATTTTATAAAAATTATATTTACACGATAATAACAAACATTGTGTATTTGCATTAATTCAAAGTCTCTTCTTATACTGCATGGGTGTTGAATGAAATTTGGCATTTCGGTTAAATGTATAATTTCAAGAAAACCTCGCATTGATGATGTCATTTTTTTAGTATAATTTGTTAATTTTTAATGATTATTTTAACATTACAATAATTTTTCAATGTAAAATATGTCGTTTTATGGATAAATTAATATATTTATTTCAATCCTTTGTATTTTTATTTAAATTGAGCTTTGAAACTTGAAATTTAGAAAACTGTAATTAGTTTTATTGCTTATGATAGAGGGCGCTTTCATGGTGTAAAAATAAAAATAAAGGTGTGTAAAAGCAACCGAAAATTAAAGCAAAAAGGAAACTAAAATATAAGAACAAGAAGATACGCAAAAATAATTATATAAAGTTTATAAAATTTATTTTCATTTAATGTAAAAAAAAAAAATTCTCCCAGACGGGGAATCGAACCCCGGTCTCCCGCGTGACAGGCGGGGATACTTACCACTATACTATCTGGGACTTACAAAATAAGTACTTACTGTGGTATAACCGCTGTGTTCTTACGAAATAGAATTTGTTAGGTTATGTTTTCACCAAAAATTCAAACGTCAACTTGACAGGTGACTTATAGTGATTGTCATCAACTGAAATCCGGAAGATCGTTTTCAGCGCGAATGTTAAAAGCGATACAACTTCGAACCAGCTTATGTACCTGACATCATCGTTGGGCGGTCTGAGATTCAGATCGATTGAGGCGGAAACGGCGATCCAATATGACAGAAGATATTATTATCTGGCCGAGGATGAGGAGGTGGTGGAGGTAAGGAAACAGTTCGATACCCTAAAAAGCAGGAGCTGTAGAACCCTTCTAGGAGACTACAAATACTTCAGGAAGAAATACTCAATTGAGGAAAACACAGACATCAAAACGGTTATCAAAAGCATAAAAGAACAGGACACCGAATGGAGGCTGGAAAACTGGAGCTAGGCCACGAGTTACCCAAAAATAGTAATGAAACTAAAAAACTTAATGTCATTTCCAGCAGCACAGACATTTTATATGAACTCCTCCAAATTATCACTACGAAATGCCACCGCAGAAGAACAAATATACAGATTGAGAGGGGAGGATTAATGTAGGTTTGGGTGTGGAGTGAGAGACAAGGCTTACCATGTCCTCTGTGAACAAAAGAATGGAAAGACAAAGGAACAGAAGATATTCATCCTCGAGGTCTCATTCCCCACCTCCAGAATTTGAGGACTGCGGAAAAAATTAAACGAACAAAATACTGCATTAACTCAGTGAAGGAGGTGGACTACAAAAATGTAGACCAAATACCCCGCAACCTAAACCTAGTAGAAGTACTAGGGCGGAACATCATTGCCCTGTGCAGCTGGCCATCTTCACAGTGTGCAGTTTGGGAGAGGTAAAGACGGAGGAACACAAAACCCTCAAGAGAGCCGTTCAGGAATTGGAAGTGACGGACCATGCTTTCCAACAAGTGGCCAGGAGAGCGGCGTACAGTGTTGCTACGCATTCCGCACGATTTTAATATAGTCGTGGAAGCTATGTTCCAAGAAAAGTGCTAATTTACTTTTTAATTGTATTATATGTAAATATGAAATATATATGTACATAATAAATATAACAATAAAGTATTATATAGTATCTGGGATATATATTATATAAGTTCCTTATATTGCTTTGAGTTAATATCAAAACTACTTAAAATTAAAAATAAACACTTTTAGAGATGATAATTAATAATTTGCAATTATTGACAATTTAACAATTTTTATTTTTCTAGTTTTAAAATAAATCTTCAAAAGATGATGTGTAACTCACGAAAAAGTATAAAATATATAAACCAGTTAGATTCATCTCTTTTCATACAAGACAAGTTTTGATATTAACCTTTTGGTGTCAGTACGCACCACTCAGTCAAAGAGGGTGGACAAATAAAGACATAATAAATTAATAAAAAAAAACCTCTAAAAAGAATTAAACAAAAATCGTTAAATTTTTGTGTGGCGCCGAATAATTATTTAAAATCACGAATTAAATTTCGTGATTAAAATTGGAGGACGATGTCTTTTTTCTTGGGCCCACATGCTCAAGAAGGTCGGAAAGATTCCGACACGATGTCGGAAATGTCGGAGGGGACGACCACTTCCGGAAGACCATCGAGTTGGGATTCAAGGGAGGATTTAAGGGATTATATATCGAAAATGGGATATAAGGACGTTTCCGATTTACATCAAGAACGTTTCCGGGTTGATAGAAAAAAATTGGAACACATGCTTAGTGGTAAAAAAAATTTTTTTAATTTTGATTTCGATGAAATTATTTTTTTTTATAGGTGACCATGAAGCTCCTTTACCGGCGGACGTTTTCTTTGAACAGGTAATTTGGTAAAATTAATTTTTTTATTAAATTAAGTAATAAAAAAAATTTATGTCCAGATCATGGCTGATACAAGTACTTTTATAACGTGGCCGAGCAAGTTGAAAATAGGTGCTAAATCGAGAAAGGGTAATTTTTTATTTTAATCAAAAATTATTGGTTTTAATTAATTAATATTTTTTTTGATTTTTATCTTTTTACGTTAAATTTAAAATTTAGATCCGCATGTGAGAATTGCTGGTAAAGAAGAAGATGTACTTGCTGCTAAAGAACGAATTATGACTGCTTTGGATACAAGAGTAAGAATTTTTTTGTTAGTTATTTTTCCGGTTTTGAAATCATTTTTTCTTTTTTGTAAGTCTAATAGAGTAACGATGAAAATGGACGTGAGTTACGTTTGTCATTCACACATAATAGGAAAATGTGGATTAAGCATCAAACGAATTATGGAAGAGACCAAGTGCCACATTCACTTTCCCGATTCAAATAGAACCAATAATCTCGAAAAAAGCAATCAAGTATCAATCTCCGGCGATATCCAAGGGGCGGAAGTAGCAAGAAGTCGAGTTAGAGTATGAATTATTAATATTTTTTATAAAGATTTTCTTCAACTTTATTTGTTTTTAATTAGCAAAAAACTCCAATTGTATTTGGTTTCGAACTTCCTGTAATGTCACCGGTAGTTGATCAAAATTGCGCCTATTTCGTGAAAATTCAAGAACAATATAACGTCCAAATTATGTTAAGAACCAGACCGAAACTTCACGCCACTTTGGTTTCTGTTAAAGGTTCAGAATGGGAAGTGGAACAAGTTAAAAAAGCTACTAGTTTATTAGTAGAGTATTTATGTAACGATGTGGCTGTAAGATTATTATTATCAAATAGAGTAAAATCTTGATATAACGGATTAATATGTCCGTTATAGCAAAAAGTCTGATATATGAAACATTTTTAATTTGAAGACGTACGGCTAAACCGGAAACTTTCTAGTTCTAGTGTTAGTTCTAGTTTTATTTCTAGCACCACAACTATCACTAGACCTAGAACTAGAATTATTCGGGTTTAGCCGTCTTAAGAGACGTGCGGCTAAACCCGAATGATTCTAGTTATAAGTCTAGTGTTAGTTCTAGTTTTAATTCTAACATTGAATCTAACACTAGGGTTAGAACTAGAATGTTTCTAGTTCTAGTATTCTAACGATTTCCGTTATATCGAGATTTTACTATAATATTATACTACATTATTATTTATTCATATTTTTCTTTAGGATCAAGTTCCGATTGAAATGTCATTAGAAATATCTCCACGACTTCACACCGTTGTATCTGGAACAAATCATTCTAATATAAAAGATATTATGAGAGTAACCGGAACTAAAGTTTTTTTTCCGGATGCTCAAGATCCTAATTTACCATGCCTTAAGAAAAGTCATGTTTATATCACCGGAAATATTCACGGTGTTTACTACGCCAGACAACTTTTAATCGTAAATATATACATATATATTTATAATTTTTGTGATTAATTAATATTTTTTTATATATAGGGTTCTTTACCGTTAGTAATGATGTTTGATTTACCAACATCTATTTCTCTGCAGTCGATTAGCCGCGAACAAGTCGTTTCAATTCAATCAAAATACGACGTAACTATTAATATACGAAAAAAAGCTACTTTGAATGTTATGATGTGTATTATTGAAGGCGCGGAAAAATATGCGAGTAAGAATTTGTAATTAAAATTATTATTTTTGCTTAATTAATTCTTTTTAGCAAATATTTACAAAGCAAGAAATGCCATATTGGATATAGATGATCTTTGCGTCGTAGCTGACATCCCAACGAATTATTATTTACCATCAGTTCCACCAACTTTACCACGCTTGCAAGTCACCGTACCACCAGAACCGATCATATCTCATGTTAGCCCATCGTTACATTCGCCGATGTTTCATCATCCCAACGAACAATGCCCACCGTATATGTTACAACAATGGGCTATGTGTAATTCTTTACATTCGAATGCAAGTAGTGGGTAAGATTTTCACCTTTATTAGTCGAGTTATAAAACATTACTTATGACGTTTTCTTTATTTTTAGGTATCAATCAACCGGTGTGGTTTCGCAAACATCTCAAGAACATAGCCCAGCTCATAGTTCTTACTCCCCAATGTCTAGTATAACACCGCTATCGACTCCGGTTTCAAGTTCGAGAAATGGATCTCCAAACTGTCACTCGTACAATTTTCAAGATCAATCGGAAAAACCTGATATATCGACCGTTTTCAACGAATTGAATAGTCCCGGGTTTCATGGTCCTACTGTTGATAAATCTGCTCCTGGATCATCCTCGTGGACAATGACTGACTACGAACAGAAGAGAATTGCTGGACTTAAAGCCATGCAACAACGACCAACAGGATTACGGTAACATATTTTACTTAAGATGCAATATACAAAAATATATTTGCATAGAAACAAGGGCGTACCTATTTAGTTTGTCCCACATAAAATGCAACATGTCAATATAATTTGACATTACAGTAAAATCTTGATATAACGGATTAATACACCGTCATAAGAGACGTGCGGCTAAACCCAAATGTTTCTAGTTCTAATGTTAGTTCTAGTGACAGTGCAAGTGTAAAAGTAGAACTAACACTATACTTAGAACTAGAATCATTTGGGATTAGCCGTCTTTAGAGACGTGCGGCTAAACCCAAATGATTCTAGTTCTAGGTATAGTGTTAGTTTTACATAATAACAGTGCTAGTGTAAAACTAGAACTAACACTAGACCTAGAAACATTTGGGTTTAGCCGTGCGTCTCTTAAGAGGGAAAGTCAGAGTTGTCATAAGGCCGTCACCTTTTCCAAGCAAAACTTTTCCTTTGCAAAACTACCCAATGTAGGACACTGCAAGTGCATAGCAGTTTCATAACTATGATTACAGCGATTATATTGCGAGTTATACATATAAAATTGTATAACACTAAATAATATAATGATTTTTTTTCTAGTTATCCAAATAACTCTTGGTCTGGTTATGGAATAAGCCATACATCACCAGCTCCAGTTCCATTAACCGGTGAAGACGTATTAAAAACACCGACCTCAAACAAGACTTTCGATTTTCGTTCTCCAGCATTGGAACGTTTATCCGCCGATTTAAACACAAGTAATTTTATGGATCATACATCTCCGAACATGCTCAATAGATTAACGTCGACCGATTGGACCGATTTGACAACGTTAATTACTTCCCTAAAGTTGGAAAAGTATTTGCCGGTATTCCATTCGCACGAAATCGATTTGGCGACTTTCGCTTCGATGAACGGCAAAGAACTTTTGGAGGTGGGTGTAACGGCTTTTGGCGCTCGTAGGAAAATGCTCCTAGCTATTGCCGAATTAAGGAAACGGATGAACGCGTTTTCTTTGGCTCCGGGAGCCGAAAGGAAGAGCAGCAGCTCGAATCCTTGTAGTCCCCACGAAAAATGGTAGTTAAATTAATATCATTAATTTAATTAATGTACGAGATGTTTAAAAGTAAGTAATTTAAGTGTTCTTCTTTTTGTAACGTGTATTTGTGTTTTTAGTATTATTTATATTCGAGTGATGAAAATAATTCTTAAAAAAAATTATGTATGTAAATAAATAAATTATAATGAAATAGCCTCGTGATATCCGATAATAATATAAAATGGATTAAAGTTTTCATCACAAACACGTTCAGTTTATAACTGTTTATTTATTACTCCAATTATTTAAACATTATGAAAACAGTTGCTGGACAATGTGTTTATCATAGTTTTTAAATATTTTGTAGATGCCTCAAAAAAAAAATAGTGTTTTGATCATTTTATTATTATCTGTATTTACGCCCCAATTTTAATTAGAAAAATATGTGATATGTTACTTAGATTTATATTAAAAAAAATATATTGCATGTATTATTTATAAATTAGTAATAAGGTATTTCTACTTCAGTGTATTTTTACTTGTACTAGATATAAAAAGAATATTGTAAACAAAAGCTTTCATTCATGTGATTTATATTATTTATTATTATACACTGTGATGTAGAATTTTTATAAAAGTGAATTAGGGCTTTTGTAATTGTTAAGATGTATCTAATGTATTTATTGTCGAAATTTGCATATTTTTTGTGCATGTCTTGAGAAAATAAACGGTTTTTGGTGAATAAATTTCTCGTTTTATTAAAATTAAGTTTTTGATGAAATAGCGAAAATAACGCGCAGTCGCATTAAAACATCAGCAGTCAAACGCACCGTACAGGTGACCAAAGCAAATTGATGTTTAGATAGAGAAAGCTGTGCGCACGGGAACCCGCGATGGCAACGTTCCAAGCTCTCCCCCCGAAAGCTCTTGAAAGCTCCCGTAACCAAACCCAACGGTACAATCAAGATATAGACGACGACGAACGAGATTCAACTCATCGAAATTATAAAATTTATTTCTATTTTATTTATTTTTATTTTAATATAAGCGCAACAATTTACGCTTGCGTAGCTCGCTCGTGGTCGTCTATTTGGCTTTTTGAAAGCTTTAAGAGTGCAGATAAAGTTCTTCCGATTTGCGGTATGGCTAAAAATAAGAAGCCACCCGGACGAAATCGTTGTTATCGTAAAAGAAAACTTAAATAAGAAAAAAATATAATTTTTCTAAGGTAAGATTTTATTTTGTATTAATAGATAAAAAATAGAGGTGGAAAAATAAACCACTTCAAGATAAATAGAGCACTTAGTGGCACAATATAGCTAAAACTTGAGTTGTATTTAGTAATGTATTAAGTTTTTTTTTGAAACATTATGAAATTAGAGCAATAAAATGCGATTGTAGTTTAAAGTAGATACTTGAAACATTTGGAATCTTATTTTTTTCGTTTTAAAGTTAGGAGACATTTAATAAATTATAAAGCAATCGTTTTAAAGGATCGATATTAATTATTTGGGTTTATATTGATACTTTTAACTTATTGATTTACTAATAAATTTTGTAAGAGATATTAAATCATTTCATAATATTTAAGTGGAAATTAATTAAATTTTAAATCATTAAATCAGTTAAATTATACAGAATTCTCCTAAAGTAAAATAGCAAATATAATAGCAATACAAATTAAGTATACAGGGTCAGTCAAAAAGTTATGACGAAACAAGGTTACGTTTTCTTTAATGAAACACCCTGTATATTATTCCATATTTCGGTTCATCTCGAAATTTTAAACAAAATTCATGTAGCATATCATAAACCTAAACTTAACCACAGAAGGTGTTGGCCACTGCAATTATTTCAAAAACCACAATTATTGTTCTGTAACAAAGTTGTGACGTTCTTGGACACAATATCAGAGGTTCTTCACTAAGAAATAGCCTAACTGGCTTCAATCACCAACATTACGACGTAGAACAAGAGTCAACAGTAGTTGATAGAATTCGCCAAGCTGAGGTTATTTTTGGCTAACCTCCATTAAGAAGCATTTCAGTCAATTCTTTGAGCACCATCAAATCATTTATTTGCCGTGTACAGGTGTCTCAAATTTGTTGTCCGCATAGGCTATCTCCCAAACTAAAAGAGATAGAAAAAAAATAGCTTACATGGCATGATCCTGTTTTCTGACGCCATATTGTTGCGAGGAAGCATTGCTGCTATTGGTGGTAAATTAAGTTGTCTCTCTCATTCATTGTGCATTCATCGCGCCTATGGTTCCTCGCGATAAGATGGCGCCCCCAACATAAAACGAATCGAGAAGTGTCACTTCTGGTCGTTCTGTGACCATACTATGATTCAAACTAATGTTCTTAAGTCATTATATTCTTGGATAGTAGGCTTAGATCGATTTTAAATTGTTTCAAAGTGTGAAATGTCAAAGTATAACAAAACTGACAAAAACTTTCATATTCCTTCACGCTATAGTTTGGGTTCAAAAGAAAACCGACATTTCTTCTCATTAAAAGAGGAACCCTTGTCTGGTACACGGATGGTTCAAAGACAGTTGGATCCGGGTTAGCAATTAAACCGCATTAAATTGCCCCTCAGCTCGGACATAACTATTTTTCAAGCAGAAGTTCTTGCCATAAACTTCTGCACCGTTTTGAACCTAGAAAAGGACAGAACGCTGCATTCATAAACATTTTCACAGACAGTCGGGGAGCGCTAAAGTCAATTTAGGCCTACATGTGTAACTCCGCACTGATCAGAAAGTGTACCAGCAACCGGGAGACCACAGAGACATTGAGGCCAATGAAAAGGAGGACAAGGTGGTCAAAGAGGCAGCGAAGAGTCTTTCTTTGAAATTTGAACTATGATTTTGACAATAATAACAATTGTTTAAAAAAATTTCTTAGAGTATATAGAAATACGTAAGATTACGTCGGGAGAGATGGGCATCAAAATCGCTGGAAAAGATGGTGAAGGATGCTAACATGGGTATTAGAGGCAGGAACTATTTGCGTGCTCTTCTATTAATGTTGGTTTCTTGTTCCATACCATTATCATTCGTATGGTTTTCTTGGATTTCTTTGTACATTGTACTTAGTAAGATAGGAGTTTAAGATGAGCAAATATGGACATAGAGTGGGAGATAATCATATTTTTGGTAAATCTCATTAAATTTAATTTTATTTTTATTATGATAACGTTAATTTTGTATACATAATAGTGAGTTGATTGAAATTAATTTTAAAATGTTTAGAATAAAGTGAGGTCATTATTCCAATTCGTTGTTATAATAATACTCAATGAAAAACGGCCAAACAAAAACTATTAAAATTAGCATACTATTTTCATTGCAATGACTATGCATCAAATTTTATCCAAAATGTATTTTGCACACATTATTTTAGTAAATACCCTAGATCTTGGAACGAATCCAAAGCGAATTTAACTAACACACGCTTTCATACACTTATTTCATTTTTAGTCGAAGAAAAATCTCACGAGAAAACTCAAATTGAAGTTTCATTTCGGGTCCAACTAAGAAAAGAAATTTTAAAATGCATCCAATTGTAGAAGACAAAACGACGTCCCAATCATCGGAGTCATTATTGCTATCGAATTCGTCGTCAATTTGGTTATCAAAACGCTTTTCCCCACCACGATTTTTCCCTAATCAGCTGATTAACACGAAGGCGCGAAATACAGATATGACATCCGCTGTCAGTCACTGCTGGTGTTTCGTTGTCGGTTCGTTTAACGACGAAATCGCGTTGAGATCGCACGTGGACTTATATCAGTGTGAGCCATTCATTAAAAGTTGAAACGAAAAAAAAATTATTATGGCAGAACACGGACATCATGTTAAAAGAAACTCTTCAAATACCGACCAAGATGATGATAGCAGCATTCCACCAGCTCCAGATGGAGGATGGGGATGGATGGTCGTTTTTGGATCATTCATGATTCACATTATTAGTAAGTAAAATTAAATTATTTGTTGTTTTTAAATGATTTTGTTTCGATTTTAAATACAACAAAGGTCTTTGTTTTATTTTAGTTTTAAGTTAAATTAATATCTGATGTAATTCTTTGATTAAAATCAATAATTTCTAAACCAGACGAATAGAATTTGTTTTATCAGCCAGAGAAAAATGTTAATCCCAATGAAAATCCGGTAATCTTCTTCTGTCAGAAGGACAAAATTGATATCGTATTGATACTATAAAAAATACGCTATTTACTACAATCAATCAGTTTGTTATACATGTTTCATTATTTATGTATCTTTTAATCTACGTCTTCATATTTCAATATTCGTTTTCGAATTAATCATTTTTTTATGAAATGATTTCATTTTTTTACATTTATTATTAAGATTTTAGAAGTACGTTTCTTAAGATGTTTCTGGTTCTAGGTCTAGGTCTACTGTTAGTTCTAGCACCAAAACTACCCGTGTTAAGAAACGTTCGGCTAACCCGGAATGTTTCTTGTTCTAGGTCTAGTGTTAGTTTTGGTGCTAGAACTAGAACTAACACTAGACCTAGAACTGGAAACATTCAGGGTTAGCCGAACGTCTCTTAAGACGGCTAAACCCGAATGTTTCTAGTTCTAGGTCTAGTGTTAGTTCTAATTTTAGTTCTAGCACCAAAACTAACACTAAACCTAGAACTAGAAACATTCAGGTTCAGCCGTACGTCTCTTAAGTCGGTTAAACCCAAATGTTCTAGTTCTAGGTCAAGTATTAGTTCTAATGCTAGTGTTAGTTCTAGTTTTAATAGTTATCCAGCGTTAGATTATTGTATATTTATAGAATTAAAACTAGAATATATAGTTTCAGCTTCATCAATTAAGTCTGTACATTTTTTTTATCCACAAAATGTCAAAATAATTAATTAACCATCTAAATATAAATTAATAAAAAAAAACATATTAAGGTCACACAAACTAAACACGTGACATAAAATATAAACTCAAAAAACACGTGACCGAGTCACTAAAGTACTTCAATATTGATTTACAGCGTTTCAAAGTTTTAAAAGACAAGAAAAATCTTTATCCAGCGATAAGCGAAACACTCGCAATTCAAACGAATGAATAAGAATTGAATAAAAAATGTTGATCTCTCTAAATTTACAACGTGATATTATGAGATCTAATGTTTTCGTAAATATTTTCGGCGTAAAATCGGTCCATTGTGCAATTAGTTTGGTTACCAGGGACGATAACGTGTTGCCACTTCGAAACTCATTAATCGTTTCGAAGATAAGATCATCTCAAACGTGTATTTTTCCTTAGAAAAATAATAGTGACATAAAATTGTTTCGGTCTCTTTTAATTTTGTTGGGATGGTAACTAAATCTCATTTATGTTCAGGTGATGATGAAACTTTAAGGTCATGGGTCAAAAAATTTTCTTAAAATCAATACTTCGCCGTAAATTATTTTTTTTTATTTGTCGTTTGGATAATTCCAAAGTTCATTCTCTTTGTTCTTTGATCTCATTCTATTTATAACAAAAGAGGAAGTATAGATTCTTTTTAATACTAATCATGCGAAGATAATGAATCAGTACGACTCATCGCGCAAACAATTCAATCGTTGTTGTTTGTCAAATTGCAACAAAGTTTACGTAGGAGTTGACCCAGTTTTTGTTGGAGAAAAAATTTTCTTCTATAAATTATGTTTTTGATAACGATTTATCGGATAATCAATAAATAAGTATAAGTAAATACTTAAAAGAGATCATATCATTTTGATAGCGGTGTTACAACAAAAATAATGCGGTTATTGTTTTAACTTGCAAAAAAATTAATGTTTCCTTTTAAAAATATGTCTCTCCATGAATTTAATTTAAATTTCTTTGCAACAATTTTCTATCCTATTTTTTGACTCAATCATTAATAACTCATAATCGTTATTAAATAACAATGATTACGGTTTAACGCGTATAATAAAAACATAATTACTTAATTTAATTATAAGTAATTTTAAATTTTCGCCAAAATTTAAAACAAAATCGGAAATTAATTCGAAACGTTCCACTTGTTACAAACAACTTGGGTTGATTGTAATTTAAGTTTTATTTATGTTTTATTTTTAGATAAAAAGCAAACAGACACGAAAAAGATTTCGTTTCATAAAATAAATTGGTTACATTTTCAAGTGGATTTTATCAATCACTTTTAAATTTAATTAAATCCTAATTTGAAGAGATATTCTTGTTATTTATTTTTATTTTTATGTTTAGATGACGGTGTAACGTATTCATTTGGAGTATTCTACGATGATTTCCTCACGTATTTCAATGAAGGAAAAGCTAAAACAGCATGGATTTTATCGATATTAGTCGGAGTAACGCTATGTTCAGGTAAAAGTTTTGTTAGGTTAGAATTATATTTGACGTTTGATTAATTTGACGTATCGAGTTGTTTTAAATGTCAAGGTCAATCAACTAACAATCCCTAAAATACAAATATTTTCATGATGTGGATTAAATCGTTGTTTAAAAACACTCAAAACTTGTTAATAAGTTAACAGCATGTTCTCTATATACGCTATGTTCAGATAACAATTAATTAATCTTTATTTTAATTGTTTTTGCAGCTCCAAAAATGTTTTTTTAGGTTAGAATTACATTTGACGTATGATGAATTTGACGTATCTGGGTGTTTTTAATGTCAAGGTCAAACTACTAAAAATCTCTAAAATACAAATATTTTCATGATCTTGATTAAATCGTTGTTTAAAAACACTTAAAACTTGTTAATAAGTTTAAAGTGGTTATTAATTAGATCAATCTATTATTATTAATTCGTAAAAATAAAATATATAAAAACTTACCAAGAAATGTTAAATATCTATTGCATTTAAGAACCAACCTAAATCATACTTTTAATTCACAGAAAAACGTTTTAAAACCGAATTTAGGTGATAAATATTATAGAACTCATGGATTTATAGAAAATCGATGTAAAATTAAAACAAATTGGGTTAGATTTGACGTTGATGAATTTAGTTACTTTTAATACCAACATCGAAAAATTAAATATTCCAAAATTAAAATTTTATTTTATTACAAAAAAAATATATAAAACATGCAAACAATGTGAAATGATTAAGTTTTTAACTTACTTGAATGATTCTCATTCACATTTAAAACTGAAAGAAATTGGATTGGATTGTTTTTGGATTGAATTGGAAAATTTTTGGTTTGATAAATTTGACGTATCCGGTTGCTTTTAATGTCAAGGTCAAACAACTAAAAGTCTCTAAAATACAAATATTTTGATTATGTTAATATGATTGATTAAACCTAAATTACACTTTCAATTTACAAAACAGCGTTTAAATGCGTCGATAAGTATGAATTTATAAAAAATCGATGTAAATTTGAAAAAAGTTAGGTTGGTGTTGATTCATATTTGACGGTTGATAAATTTAGTTACTTTTAGATCCAACTTCGAAAAATTAAATATTCCTATTTATTAAATTTTTTATATTTTTTAATTTAATTATTATATTACAAAATAATTTGAAATGATTAAATTTTTAATTTAGAGAATCGTTCAAATTTAAAACTGAAAGAAATTGAATTGTACAAAAATTGTTGGTTTGATAAATTTGATTTTACTTTTTAGTACCAAAATTAAAAAATTAAAATTTTTACATTTTAAAAGAAAAATAAGTTGTTTTTAACCGTTTGATTTACCGGAAGAAGTTGGTTTACGCTCAATTTAGTTTTAACACGATTAAAGATAATTTGCTCCTAAATAAACACTCAATTATCGTAATTTAGACAATTTTTTACTTTTTTTTGTAAATTAGTTTTTACATTTTTTTTTGTTGGCATTTTCTTATTACATTTTTATTTGAGGGTAAAGTACAAGAAGTAATCTGCTAATGATCGAATTTCCTTAACAAAAACGTACGTAAGGATGATCATTTTCATGATCCCGCAAAACGTTAGCCAGTAAACGATTTTGTAAGCCACATTGAGGATACTAAACATGTCACTTTAAAATATACTTTTTACCTAAAATTATGTACTCAATAAATAAAGGTCTAAAATAACAAATATTTTATCACTATTCAAATTTAAATAGCTTACTCACCTAATATTCTTGTTTAATACATAATTTTTCATTTTTTTAAGGGATAATAAATTAGTTGAATGACATTTTGAAATTTTTCTTTTAATATTTTAAAATAACCATGGAAATTTAAAGCAAATTTTTTTCTTTAGGTCCAATCTCCAGTTCCTTCGTAAATAAATACGGATGTAGAACTGTAACATTAGCCGGGACATTTTTAGCAAGTGGATGTTTAATAATAAGTTATTGGGCAAACAGCGTAACAGTTCTTTGCATAACAATCGGATTGGGCACCGGTTTAGGCTTTGGTTTAATCTATTTACCAGCCATAGTGAGCGTAACAATGTATTTTGACAAAAAAAGATCTTTAGCAACCGGAATCGCAGTTTGTGGATCCGGTTTGGGAACATTCGTCTTTGCCCCATTAATAAATATACTATTAGAAGAATACGGTTGGAGAGGCGCAATGGTCATTTTAGGAGGAATCGTTTTGGAATGTCTTATCTTCGGCGCACTCTTCAGACCATTAGAATACGAAAAAAAGAAAAAACCAAAATCAATCGACAATGGAATACCATTAAAAAAATCTCAAAAAGAATTAGATCTTCACATTTCGGATCCAAGTTTGAGAAAGATTATTTTAGAATCAAATAAGCCGAATATACATCGCCCGAGAAGTATGGGCCATTTTACCGATTCGCAAAAAGTGAAATTTGAACAAAACGGAAACATATCAAATGGAAAATTAAAAAACGACGCCCAATATCGTTTGGCTTCCAGCCAACCTTTACTAACACAATCTGACAGTGGACGTAAATTCTTATTTAGAGGACCACTTTACAAACCGGACATTTTTTATCAGAAAAGTTTAGGAAATTTAAGTACAACAATGTCAAGGATGAGTTTACGTAGTATTGAAGCGGAAAAAATCGCCGCCTCCTTAATCGAACCACCAAAATCGAAAATTTGTGGAATCACGTGTTCGAGAGAAACTAAAGATACTTTAAGAGAAATGTTGGATTTCAGCCTTTTTAAAGATGTCTTATTCATTATTTTTACGATTAGTAACTTTTTAACAAGCGTTGGGTTTAATATGCCATATGTTTACATCGTTTCAAGAGCTAAATCATTAGGTATAGATCAAAGTCATGCTAGTTTCCTGTTATCTGTTATTGGTATTGCTAATACTATTGGAAGAATCATTTTGGGGTATATATCGGATAAACCTTGGGTTAATCGACTATGGGTTTATAACGTATGCCTTACAGTTTGTGGTGTTTGTAAGTATTAAAAAAAATTATTTATTAACTAAATTAATTTAAGAAATTAATATTACTTTAAAATTGGTCGTTTTATACAAAATTTTAAACTTTCACCGACCTTATCAAAACATCACTTTTGTTTCAAATCCGACCTACGACCCTTCAGAGAGAGTTCAAGAACAAATTTATAAATAAGAAAACGTACGCGAGATAAATAACCTTATCAGAACCATATAAGCAATAACGTAATATAAATTTATGAAGTAAGCCAATAAAATTGGAATTTTATTTTGGTAAAATGGTTAATTTCTGAGGTGAATTTCGCAATAAATTTTTTTTTGTGTAATAATTTAGATTATTATTACATAATTATTTGAAAAAGAAAGAAAAAAAAACTGTGGGCTCGTCCGGGATTTGAACCCGGGACCTCTCGCACCCTAAGCGAAAATCATACCCCTAGACCAACGAGCCAGATATAAGGATATCATAAAAATAATTATTTCAATAATTTAAGGATTTATGGTTTTTTTTCCTTACCTTAACTATGGACTTTAGCAAAGCTTTTGATAAGGTCGATCACAATTTATTACTCTTAAAGCTGGAACACGTGGATGTCTTGTTAAAGTGGTTTGCAATATCGAATCATAGCATCATTATTTATAATTTACATACGAGATATAGCTAAATCTTTTGCTAACTCTAGATATCTCATGAATGCTGTTGACCTTAAATTTTTTTCTCCAATTATAATAGTAATCTCTCGGATTGCATTATCCTTCAAACAGACCTGAATAGATTTTATGATTACTATTTATAAAATAAATTAAACAACCATGTGTTTTTCTCAATAAAAAAGACACATTTGACAACCATTTATTTAACCTGTAATTTTTGAAATATAATTAATTAATTAATTAATAAGAATACCTCTAAAAAAGAAATTGAAATTAGAAATAATAATTTACGTTTAAATATATCGAAGTGTCATGCTGTAACCTTGACTAAGAAAAAATAATTTATTATTTAAATAAATAAATAATTCCTAGTTAAGAAGTAAATATTTATTATTAATTATCATTTTATTTTTAGCTACAGCTTTGAGTGCCTTTGCTACAAACTTCTACACCTTATCAATATACGCCTCAATCTTCGGATTCACAATAGGAGCATACGTTGGATTAACCTCTGTACTTTTAGTGGATTTCTTAGGATTAGAACGATTAACGAACGCTTTCGGATTAGTCTTACTATTCCAGGGAATCGCTTCTTTAATTGGACCCCCTCTTGGAGGTAACAAACAATTATTTATATAACAAATTGGAATTTCAAATTTCTAAAATTTATCCAATTACATTTATTTTTTCTGAAATCATTAATTTAAATTAAATTCAAATTTATTTCCGCCATCTACCGGCATCTCCCTCAAGTTGAAATTAAAGACTAGATCCCTAGATTACTAAAGTACCGTGGTTTTAAACTTGACTTTCGAACCAAAATGGTGGCAAATCGCGGTACTTTAGTAGACTTTAAACTATAATAATTAAATTGGTTTCATCTTATCAATAATTTAATTTATTATTATTTTTTTAGGTGCTTTATACGATAATACACAATCGTACGATCCGGCGTTTTATTTAGCTGGAGTGTGCATAGCAATAAGTGGATTAATATTATTCGCGGTTCCTCCAATTCAACGGCATTTAGAGGCGAAAAGGAAAGCCGAAACGGTTTCGAGTATATAGCAAATACTGTCTAAGATAGATTATAAGAAAGGAAAGTTTTATAATACGCTTTGATTTATTGGAGAATGATGGGATGCGTCTGCAATGCAGACAATGTGATTCGCAATTTCAGTGTATTAAAAAAAATGATTTTATGATATTTAAATTTGTTTTTATTTTTATAAGTTCTGTTGCAGCTAAATATAATAAGAGATTAATTTTTTAATATTATTTCTGATAGTTCCTATTATATAGTTATCTTTTTATTGTTTCTAAGTTTATTTTAATACTGTGATTAATTAATTTTTTTTGTAAATAATAATGTACATAGAACTAACAACAACAAAAATATAAAAAGAATAAATTCATAATTTATTATCCTTCAAATTTCAAATGTACAAATTATTGTGAATTAACGTTTAAGTAGATATAATGATATATTCTTGATATCAAAACTTTTACTCTCTTTACGAATTATTATTATATCATTATAGAGTGGGTGAATTAATAGTAAATAATGAATGCATGTAAAATTCGAACGAATGATTCAATTTGACTATTACCATGTTTACACGTATTTATTATTAATTAAATTAAAAAATTACATAAAACATCGTTTCTTATTACTAATTCCTTTTGCTTAAGGCCACGATTAAGGCATGTCTCAATCCTGGCAAGTATACAAGGTATGTCAATACCGGAATTATAACTGAGACCTACAAACAATGAACTTTCATTTAAAAGTCACGGTTAAAAATAAATTTTTGATGCAATTACCTCAGCCCCTAAAGGTGCCATCACTGTCAACGCAACAGGAATTTTTCCTTTAACATAAGGAATCCAAGCGATTAAAATCGCGCGGGGTATCCAAAATAAATAAGTTAAGATTGTCGTCATTCCAACAGCTTTTGTTGTATCCGTTTGGTTGTAACGCTTCCTTTTTGAAAATTGTTTTTCTTTTATCGTGGCGAAATACAAAAATAAGCAATTAATCAAAATTGGAATGATTGCAGTTAAGACTATAACGGAGATGTTAAAAGATTTTTGATAATAATCATTTAATTTCCAATCTAATTCGCAAGCTGTACACGTTGTGTCATAAATATAACCGCTGTAACCAACCAAAGGAAAACTCGCTATTGTCATTGCAAAAATCCAACAAAAAACGCTTGAAATGATGTAGAATTTATAAGAAAGTTCTTCTCCTTTATGCATCGTTCCCACCGATAAATATCTTTCGATTCCCATAAATGCCAATAAAGTCATTTGAAAAATTCCAACTGTTAATTTGAAAAATCCAAAAAGTTGACATGCTGTGTATCCGAATAACCATCTTAAAAATATTGTTAAACAAAAATGTTTTTTAATTTTATTTGTACGTACCTGGTTAATAAAGCTGAAAACGATGAAAACACAACAACTAAAATTCCTCTTACTATACAAGCAATACAAAAAGCGAGCATAAATAAATAACTTCTTGATGAAACGATTTGATTGCGAATAAATGCGATAAACAACCAAATGTTTAACACTAAACCAGTTATACCTTTAAAACAATTTTTAATTTGTAACAGAAAATGCATATAAAAAAGTCTTACCGAAAATTATTAAACAATTTCCTAATAAAATTTTATGCGAATCGTCCAAAATATTCCAAGTGCAAATTAACGTTTTGTAATACATTTTCGTTTCAAACCGAAACGAAGAACCAAGTAGAACTGAGGAAAAGGCATCGAATTTTGCTACGGTTTCTTAACTTTCTTGGTGTTATTCAATATGCGTGTAAAGGAATCTATTTCTACAGACATCATCAAAATTTATATACAAAAATTCACTTATATAAAATGCTAACGAATGGACTTGAAAATAAACTCGGCTTCTACCAACCGATAGAACAAGCGGGATTTCGTAGAAAATTTTGAACGAACGATCAAAATGATAACTGAAAGAATCATCGAGTACAATAGGCCGCTTGTTATGGCTTTCCATAATGCATTCGATACAGTTTTAACCGCACTTCAAATATGCTACGTCAACTATAGAAATGTAACCATGTCAGTGAAACTGCATGAAAACTTGGATCCTGTCCAAGTGAGCAGAGGAGTACGATAAAGTGATGCGTTTTCGCCTAAACTGTTTACCGTAATACTGGAATTTGCATGTAAAAAAGTTTATTGGGAAGAAAGAGAGAAGCCATCGATAGGCAAAGACAAATTTTAAGTTTACAGACGATATAGATTTGATCTCTGACAATCTTAAGGAGATAGACATAATGCTACATGATCTCATTACCCGACGCAAGAAACTCATTACCTCCTCTCTTTTTCTGTATATCAGTGCTCTTCATTTTCCTTCTTCCCTCTAATATAACAACTTCTGATTTCTCCTCCGCCATTTCTAGTCTTAAATCTCTCATCTTTTCTGAACACAACCCAACGCAATCCAACCTAACTTAACCCAAACTAGTTCCATGAAAACATCAGCATTGAAGATAATTAGGTTCAATTAGTAAAAAAGTACATAAACCCTAGGCACAAAATAAAGATTTCGAGAGATAATCAGACATGCGAATTAAAGAGAAGAATAAATTTTGCATATGCAGTCTTCTAAATATCTTCAAAAGTAACTTGCCAATCTGACTAAAACGAAAAACGTTAGACCTTGGCCACAACAACTTCTAAAAAACATCAAATTGCTTCATGACTTTTCCTATATAAAGCCAATATTGTAGTTTTTGCACAAATAGTACCTCAAGTTGCTTTATTTATAATTAATATTAATTAAATTCAATATTAATTAATAATTTTCCTTTAAGTTATATTTAAATCATCAGAGAATAGTTCCAAGGTCTCAAAACGTGACCAATTTAATAACAAACCGATCGACTATTTTTATATTGAAAATTTCGATCGTTAAAAATAGAACTAAAGGTAAAACAAATAAGTTTTAAAATAATCTCTGTACCTATGGCCGCGTGGTCAAAGATAAAATTTGGAACCACTTAGTGCCAAGATATAGAACGCGGTAGATGCGGTGAAAAAATTGCAGAAAGAATAAAAGTTATAATCGACAAGTTAATTTAAAAAATGTGTGATATCGAAGAAAAAATTCAAAGTTATCTCAAAGAAAAATCGATTTTCTTAGAAAATAAATGTTGGGATATCCGAAAATCTTCTTTGGGTGGTCGAGGAATTTTCGCAAACAGAAACATTTTACCTGGTGAAATCATTTTTATCGATACCCCAATCATAATTGGACCAAGATCAAAAAGTGATTTAGAAGAAATCTGTGTCGTTTGTTTTAAAATTGAAGAATTAAATTTTTGTAAACGCAAATGTGGTTTAAAACTTTGTTTAAAGTGTCAAGACTCAGAACAACACCAAAAAGAATGCGGTTTTATAAATTCACGTAAAAATGGTGTCGATTTAGAAACAACCAAAGATATAACTTTATCTTTAACCCCAATTAGAGCATTATTTTTAAAATTACATTTTCAAAAATTTTTCTTTTACCTAAAATCACATAAACATCCAAAACACCACGTTTTAATTGATAATTTAAAAGACAAAATAAATTTTTCTTTATCAAGCGACGAAGAGATCTTTTTAAAATTAGTATGTTCGGTTTTAGATGCAAACGCATTTGAAGTTTTAATCTCTTCAAATCAAAAACAATCAACCGTTAGAGGTTTATATCCTTTAGGAAGTTTAGCAAATCATAATTGCTCGCCGAATACAACCCACGTTTTCGACAAACAACAAAGAATGATTGCCAGAGCGGCAGTTTTTATTCCAAAAAACACGGAAATTTGTCACTCTTATTCGAGAATCACCTGGGGAACTTTAACAAGAAGATATCATTTACTTAGAACTAAGCACTTTGAGTGTAAATGTTCCCGGTGTCAAGATCCAACTGAATTTGGGACTAATTTAAACGGGATTAAATGTGAAATTTGTAAAAATGTTGTTTTACCAGAACATCCGATTGATTTAAAATCGAAATGGAAATGTTTTTGTTGCAAAGAAGAAGTTTCGGTTGAAAAGATTTCTTTTATAAGTAATATTTTAGGAAGTAATGTAAAAGTTTTTGAAAAAAATGAAGATGTTGAGTTGATTATGAAGTTTTTGGAGAAAATTAAGAAATTGGTTGTGGATAATAACCAAATTTGTGTTGAGTTAAAATACAAATTGATATGGATTTTGGGATACAAACAAGGATATTTTTATGAAGGTATTTATTAGATATTTTGATTTAAAATCAACAAATTATTTATAACCCTTTGGCAAAATTTATAATTACCCACATCAATCCTAACTTATTTACAACTATTTCTTTTTAGTCTTTGGAAAGATACCAAAAAGTTTAGCATCGTTTATTTAATTATTTAAAAAAAATCTAACAGAGGTTTGGCACAACTTATTTAATTGTGTATTCAACAAACAAATTTAATGAAGAAATTAAAACTTTTTTTATTTGGCACGAATTTTAGCTGAAAACAAATCGAAACTAATAAAAAATCTTGTTAGATTTTTCTCTTTGATCTAAAAATAATTCCTAAAAATAACTTTTCAATTTTAAAAATAGTGAATCATAACCACATAAAAAATTCTGTTAACGAATAAAATTCATTTCATCAAAATATATGTTTGAGGTCGCAAAATTTATCACTGTCTCGAATACCATGTCAAATATATTTAACTCCTGGAAATGCGTACCTAGATATTTAAAATCGCTTCGTCTCCAAAATAGAGTAACCAGCACGAACACTTATTTACCTATCTTTAAGTAGTACACACTAGTTAACGGGCAAACTAATTTTATCTTATTTACAACTTTACGATGTTAACAGATCTAGCAGAAAATTTACTATGCTATAAAGAAGATATATGCAAAGATTTATTGGAGTTACTCAAGCTATTAAAAACTGGAATGTGCAAAATGAGAGGGTTATTGCTTTACGAATTATATCAATGCGGAAAAGAAAAGATTAAACGAAAACTTACAGAAAATCAAGAAGAAATTAATGTATTATTGAGTGAAGCTGCCGATATTCTCTTGTATGATGTCGATGCACCAGAAGAAGTACAACAATTATGGAATAAAACTGATGTTTTTGATTAATTTAAATAAATTAATTTTTTACCAAGTTTATATTTCTTGTTCCTATCTCAAAAATAATAAAGCAAAATGTTTAGAGTCCTATTGGTATCCAGAAATAAGTTTTTAGATGTTTATATGCTTTTTGTGAAGGAATAAGTTGAATTTAATTCCTTATAGTACGTGTAATGAGTAGGTGTATTCCCAAAGATAAATAATTAACTGGTTTATAAGCAAATTAAATAGTTGTAATTAAGATGTTTAGCGTTCCTTCAAGATCACACACTGAAAATATGCAAAAAAATGTTAAACTGTTAAAGTATAACATCTTATAACTTTATTAATGTAAGTAAATATAGACAACCAATTAATTATCAAGATATGATTAATTTAAAGCGTTAATTAAAGTGTTTCTACTTAATTTATATGATTAATTATTAATTAGATTTATTAATTTATTGTTGTTTAAAAAAAGCGCCATCTCTTATTTAAAAACGCAATTAAACCAATTATATCAGTAATAACAACCAAACAAACTAAAATAAATCCAACGTTTACCGACTAAAAGAATCCTTAAAATTAACAAAAATAAACCCTTCAAAAGATGTTAATCGATACTTTCCTTAAAAATATCCTACAAATTTATTAAAACATTAATGAATCGAAGAAAAGCGACTTTTCGCGTCTCATTATGGTAAATTTAACCTCACATTCACTGTTAATCATTAAAGAAATATCGTATATTGTCAAAAAATGTCGAAGCAAGTGAAAAGGAAAATCACGGTAAACCTTACCAGTAGCCAAAAAAGTAAACAAACGGCGAAAACTCGACCGAGTGTTTTTGAACGCTTGGGAACGAAGGCGAGTGCCAAAGAGGTTTGTCATCATTGGTCTCAAAACGGGACGTGTCCTTATGGTAAAAGCTGTAAGTACTCAAATACTCACACTTTGATAAGCCCATCGAAGCAAAGAGCTGCTAAGAAAGAAAGTGAATCAAAAAGACATAAAGATGCTCATAAACGGTTGCATGAAGAGGAATACGATTGGAATCCCGAAGAATTAGAAGACGCAGATCCTGATGATTTAGAAAAACGTAGGTTGGAGTTACAAAGACAATTGGAGTTGGTTAAAATGGAAAATAAGGTAAAGAAAAAAGAGAAAAAATTAAAAAAGGAAAGTAGCCCCAGTTCAGAAAGTAGTAGTAGTTCAAGTGATTCAAGTTCAAGTAGTGATGAATCAAGTAGCTCAAGTTCTTCATCTGTTGATACAAAGAAGAAGCGTTCAAAAAAGACTAAAAAGCGGGATAGTTCATCAAGCTCAGAATGCGATAAGCGAAAACATAAAATTAAGTTAAAACGAACGTCTAAGAGCCAAACTAGAGAAAAAACTAAAAAGCTTATATCTTCAAAAACATCCTCATCAAAAATTTCGAATAAATCAAACTCTCCTGCACCTAAAATACGTAAATTATCCCAAACACCACCACCAAAAATCAAAACACAACCGATTAAGAAAAAATCTGAATCGCCACGACCAACGAGTAGATCAAGTGATCGAAAAGATAAACATCGTACCCCTTCACCAAAAATCCCTCAAAAAGATAAAGACCGTGAGAAAGATCGTGAACGTGAAAAAGAAAAGGAACGCGAAAAAGACCGCGAACGTGAAAAAGAAAAAGAACGCGAAAAAGACCGCGAACGTGAAAAAGAAAAAGAACGCGAAAAAGACCGCGAAAGAGACCGCCCAAAAATCAACCGAGACAAAGATAAATCCGAATCAATCAAAAAAACCACCAAACAACCATCACCCAAACGAGACCCCATCACAAAATCACAAACAAAACGTAGAGATTCACCCGATTCGACGCATTCAAGAGATCGAAAAATCTCACCAACTCGATCTCGTGGGAGTCGATCAAGCACACGTAGAGACACCCATAAAAACAGCCCATCAAGTAAAGATAACGAAAGAACTTCAAGGGATAGCAGAAAAGATCAAAACAAAAAGGATCGCTCAAGTGATAGAAAACGCACGGAAAAAAGGGATTCAAGAGATCGGGAACGTGAAAGGGAAAGAGAACGCGAACGAAGAATCGCTCGCGAAGAACGTGAAGCGGCCCGTGAAAAAGAACGAGAAGAGGCTTTGGCTAGGTGTCAAGAACGCCAAAGAGAGCGCGAACGTATAAAAGAGTTGCAAAAAAAAGAAGATGAAAGACGTAACAGAGAGCGACGCCGTGCTGGGGATGATCGTGGTTTAGATAAACCACCTAGTGATCGAGTTGAACGATTACTTCCGCTTCCTTCCGAAAGGGTTCCTCCAGCTCGAAAAGAATCGTTAGATAGGGAACGTAATCGTGAACGCCGCGAGCGAACCCCTGAAAATCGGAGAGGTAGAAAATCACCCGAAGAAAGGGGCCACGAAAGAATTGAAAGAGACAAAGAAAGAATTGATCGTTATGATAGAAGTTATGATAGAGAACACGAACGTGAAAGAGAACACGAAAGAGATTATCCCGTTATTCCACGCTTACGAGAAGATATCCGCGAAATTGATAAACATTACGAAAACACTTACGATCGACCACCAAGACACGAAGATGTTCGTTATATAGATGGCCACTACGAAGGTAGAGATGAAAGAATCCCATTGACGGAATACCCAGATGAGCGAAGATCAAGAAGAGAACATTGGGAAGAAATGGAACTCGAACGAGAACGTGAAAGAGAATTAGAACATCGAAGATACAGAGAAGATAGAGGTCAACATTTAAAAGGTAGAGAATGGCCGGATGAGTACCCAAACGAACAAGAATGGGATCGAACTCGGCGCCCAATCGAATGGGAAACTCGAGATAGTTGGGACGCCAGAGAGCATGAACATATGACTTTAGACGAAGAATGGAGACACTATAATCGATCATTAGATTCCTGGTCGAATGAAGAACGAAGGAGATGGGCGGCGGAATGGCGCGAGAGATCACGCCCGAGGAGTTCAACTTCACACAGAGATGAAGAACCTCATATTCCCAGAAAAGAACCCCCACAACCTCCAATTCGCCCGGAAGTAATCGTCGAACCAAAACCTCACGAACCACCACCGCAACAAGAAAAAAAAGAAACGATTCTTGGAAAACGACCTCCAGAACAACCCTTAGAAGAAGTTGAACCGAAAAAACCATGCATAAAAGAACCACCCCCAACCACAATCGAAGATGATTTTAGTGAAATTAGCGATGATGCCGATGAAATTTTGGATCGAGTTGAAGAAGTAACCGAAGTTATCGAAGAAAAAAAAGAAGAAATCAAAAAAGAGGATGAGGAACCAATTAAAATTGAACCAACAAAACTCGAAGCGAGTCCAAAACAAACAAGTAGTAAAAAAGAGGAATCCTTAGACGGTGAAAACGCAATGGAATTAGATTTTGAGGAAATTTCTGAAGATGAACTTGAAGAAGGAGGAGGTGTTAAAGGTATTTGCGACGCTTTAGATGTGGATTGGGCTAGTTTGGTTGCTGAATCAAGACCGAGGGTGGTACCAAATACTTCGGCTAAACGCAGATGGGAAAGTCATAATGTTTTGGTTAACTTAGGTGTATCGGTTGAAATGGCCGGTGAAGATTTGGTGAAAGATATTCTTAAAGAACACTCAAATGCGATAAAACAAGAGTCTAAAAATGAATCTAACGACGACGAGAATAAACCAGAAATTGTTGAAGAAATAAATATATCACATCCTGTTGCTTTAATTCAAGTCTCTGACAGAGAGAATAAATCGATTAGGAAGAGTTTATTTAGCAGTGCTGGATTATATAAAAGAGCTTTATCTGCTAGGAGAGATATTGCAATTAGACGTCATATGTGTAATTTGCCAATTAAAGATAGTTTTGTTGAACCCCCAAAACAACCTGATTCTGAACTTTTTAAGGTTGCTAAAATGCTGTTCGAAAGATGTTTGTAATTCAAACTCAATTTATTTTATTATTACATTATAATGTGTTCTATATCTTAATGTCTTAATAAATATTAAAAAAATATTTTTCTTTTACTTTAATATATTTTATTGATGAGATGTAACCCAATTATTCAACCAAAAACATATCCTTTGTATGTTATCTTCTAAATGATTTAAATTGCTACTTGTTAATTCATGAACTATTTCTGGATCGTAAGAATTTTTTGCTTCATCTAGAATAACTTGGAAAATTTCACAATCGACATTATCTTCTAATTTTTTCCCCGAGTATCCTTTAGCTGTTAATCGGTCATATAAAGTTGTATTGTCCGTCCTAAGTACAAAAACGATGTCAAACCAACGTTTTGGGAAGAATTCGCAACTGTGGTAATCTAAGATATTTCCTCCTTCTCTCATCATATCTTCCAAACCATCCATTAACTATAACATAACAAAATTAAAGTTAAATCAATCGAAATTGTGGTTCTCATCACTTTATCTTCATCTAAAACAGGACATTGATAAACCTCATCGTATTCTTCTAAACAGTTATTTTCGATTGCAATCTTAGAAATTTCCAACCATTTTAATCCGGTGAGTTCCGATAATTTACTGCATAATGTAGATTTTCCAACACCTGGTGTACCAGTCACTAAAATATTAGGGACAACTCTAGATGGATTTTCCATAATTTTATTTTAATTTTATTTTATTTCCACGTGTATTTCGAATTTATTTTATAGGTTATATTTATTGTTTGGGGTTATGTTTGATTTGATTGACAGCTGTCAAAGAAAAAATGTTTCGATAAATATTTAATTAATACAATAAAATATTTTAAGCACTATGTGTTTATTTTCTTATTTGTTATCATCTCAAGTGTTCAATTAGATAAAGCCCTATCATAATCCCTCTATTAATCAAATAGTGACATAACCTCACTTATGTGATACATTATCAGAAAATGCATTATAAATGTTTTCTAATTTGCTGATGAAACTAAACGAAACGAAAAAATGGCCGCAAGACAACTTTTATTAATATCTTCATCTCAAGTGCACGGTTATGAATACCTTCAATGTGCAGAAAATGATATCAATAATCTCTTAAGAAAGTAAGTGTTTGTATAAAAAAACATATCTGAATTAATATAATTTTGTAGAAATAATGTATCATCCGTATTATTCATTCCCTATGCCTTAAAAGATCATGATAAATACTTGAAAATGGTAAAAAATCCTTTTTTAAAATGGGGCTACCAGGTAGATGGAATTCACAATAGAGAAAATCCTGTTGAAGCTGTACAAACAGCTGAAGCTATATTTATCGGAGGCGGGAATACATTCAGATTATTAAAAGCTCTTTATGATAATAATTTGATTGATATCATTCGTAAAAGAGTCTTCGAACAAGGAATTCCTTACATTGGTAGCAGCGCAGGGACAAATGTGGCTACAAAAAGCATACACACTACAAATGATATGCCCATTGTTTTCCCTCCAACTTTCGATGCATTAAAATTGGTCCCTTTTAACATCAACCCTCATTATATGGATCATGACGAAAAAAGTACTCATAAAGGTGAAACGAGGGAGGAAAGAATATTACAGTATTTAGAGGAACCACATGCCGCACCTGTTTTAGGGCTAAGAGAAGGAAATTCTTTGTTGGTCGAAGGCAATAACGCCATTTTAAAAGGGGTTACACGAGCAAGATTATTTATGCCGTAAGAAAGGAATTAAGTTTTTGTATTATTAAGTATTCATTATGTTTTTGTTCCAGGGGAAATGAGGCGAAAGAAATCAGTCCTGAAGCTGATTTAAGCTTTTTAATGAATTTGAATTATTAAACATCTATGTTATTGTATATAAATCAATAAAATTGTTCTATTATAGAAAATGAATTGGAAATTAATTTTAAAAGTGATTTGAGGTTTTTAATGAATTTAAATTATTAAAATATCTATATTATTTGATATAAATTAATAAAAAATTGTTATTGAAGTTTAAATAAAATTATATTGGCAACACTGTTTCTGGCATTTCTAACCTCTCTATTTTTATGAACCTAACCTATAAAAGAACGTAAAAAAAACGTTTAATTACTTATTAAAAAGAATGCCTGTAACAGAAACTTTGAAAAAGCTAGAAATAATATTTGTAAGTTTTTTTATATTATTATAGTCTAATATTTCTCATTTAAAAATATTAAATTAGACTGATGAAGATCTTCCGTATGAAGAAGAAATCCTTCGTAATCCTTATTCAGTAAAACATTGGCTTAGATATATAGATCATAAAAAGAATGGACCTAAACAAGCAATTAACATAATTTATGAAAGAGCACTAAAAGAACTTCCTGGGTCATATAAATTATGGTATAACTATTTAAAAACAAGAAGAAAACAAATAAAAGGTCGTTGCATAATAGATCCTGGTTATGATGAAGTAAACAACGCGTTTGAAAGAGCTTTAGTATTTATGCACAAAATGCCTAGAATTTGGATGGATTATTGCACCTTTTTAACCGATCAATGTAGGATAACGCGAACACGAAAAGTATTTGATCGGGCTTTAAGAGCTCTTCCAATTACGCAACACCACCGAATATGGCCACTATATTTAGGTTTTATTCGAAAACATGATATCCCAGAGACAGCTGTACGAGTTTTTAGGAGATACTTAAAATTATGTCCCGAAAATACAGAAGAATATGTTGATTATTTAAAAGAAATTGATCGATTAGATGAAGCCGCTGTCCAATTAGCCAAAATAGTTAACAATGAAAATTTCGTTTCTCAACATGGCAAATCAAATCACCAACTTTGGAACGAACTTTGTGATTTAACATCAAAAAATCCCGATTCTGTGCATTCACTGAATGTAGATGCGATTATTCGAGGTGGTTTACGGAGATACACAGATCAATTAGGACATTTATGGAATTCTTTGGCGAATTATTACGTTAGAAGCGGCTTATTTGACCGCGCTAGAGATATTTATGAAGAAGCGGTTCAAACTGTAACTACAGTACGCGATTTTACCCAAGTTTTTGATGCTTATGCTCAATTTGAAGAGTTAAGCTTGTCGAAACGTATGGAACAAGTCGCCGCACTATCAAATCCGACCGAAGAAGACGACGTTGATTTAGAATTGAGGTTAGCGCGATTCGAAAATTTGATGGAACGAAGATTATTACTTCTCAATTCGGTTTTATTGCGACAAAACCCTCACAACGTACAAGAATGGCATAAAAGAGTTAAATTATATGAAGGAAAACCACACGAAATCATAAACACTTACACAGAATCGATTCAAACGGTTGATCCGAAATTAGCAGTGGGAAAATTACATACTTTATGGGTGGAATTTGCAAAATTTTATGAAAAAAACCGACAGATTGATGATGCGAGATTAATTTTTGAGAAAGCGACCCAAGTTTCGTTTGTAAAAGTTGAAGATTTAGCGTCCGTTTGGTGTGAATGGGCCGAAATGGAAATTCGTAATGAAAACTACGAAAAAGCTCTTGAATTGATGCATAAAGCGACGGTTTTACCATCCCGCAAAGTTGCTTATCACGACGACAAAGAAACCGTTCAATCTCGGTTGTATAAATCACTTAAAGTTTGGTCAATGTACGCCGATTTGGAAGAAAGTTTCGGTACATTTAAAACATGCAAAGCCGTTTACGACCGAATCTTAGACCTAAAAATTGCAACTCCCCAAATCATAATCAACTACGGATTATTTTTAGAGGAAAATAATTACTTTGAGGAAGCGTTTCGCGCTTATGAAAAAGGAATTTCACTTTTTAAATGGCCGAACGTTTATGATATTTGGACGGTGTATCTAACAAAGTTTTTGAAACGCTATGGAGGAAGTAAATTGGAGCGAGCAAGAGATCTTTTCGAACAGTGCTTAGAAAATTGTCCTCAAAAATTTTCAAAACCGCTTTATTTACTTTACGCTAAATTAGAAGAGGAACATGGAATGGCAAGACATGCTATGGCTGTTTATGAGCGTGCCACAAACGCGGTTTTACCAGAAGAAATGTTCGAAGTCTTTAATATTTACATAAAAAGGGCTGCGGAAATTTATGGCGTCCCAAAAACCAGAACAATTTACGAAAAAGCAATCGAAGTCCTCCCAGAAGACAAAACACGCGAAATGTGCCTAAGATTTGCAGAAATGGAAACTAAACTAGGCGAAATTGATCGAGCCAGAGCAATTTATGCTCATTGCAGTCAAATTTGCGATCCCCGCGTTACAATGGACTTCTGGAATATATGGAAAGAATTCGAAGTCCGTCACGGAAACGTGGACACAATGAGAGAAATGTTACGTATTAAACGAAGCGTCCAAGCGATGTATAACACTCAAGTTAATATGATGTCAGCACAAATGTTAAATTCAGCAGGTTCAGTTGCAGGAACCATTGCAGATTTGGCACCAGGCGTTAAAGACGGAATGCGAATGTTAGAAGCTAAAGCTGTTGAAATGGCTGGAACTTCAGGTGTTGGCAAAAGCGGAAATATAATGTTTGTTCGTGGCGAAACGCAAGGAAGTAACAATGATAGAGTTGTTAACCCTGATGAGATCAATATCGACGATGACGATAGCGATCAAGAACAAGAAGGTGTTGAAGAAGATGCTGATGTTCCATTGGAACAACAAAGCGTTCCATTAAAAGTTTTTGGAGGTTTAAAGAAAAATAATGAAAATGAAGATGAATAAGTTTTAATTTTTATTGTGTTAAGATAATTGATTATAATAAAATAATTATTTCTTGTTTCCTTTAATTATTGAGCTCTAAACACTTAAAAAAAGCTTAAACTTTAATATTATTTTGACATTTAAAGTTGTATAAAATTTGTGTTACCAACATTATTAAAATAAAATCAATATCCAATAAGATACGGTTAATAATTAAAATAAAATTAAAAAAAAATTCGGATATAAATTGTATTCAATCACAATTTGTTATTTAACTAATAAGCCTAATATTTATTTAAAAAAATTATTCCCAAAAAGACCGTTGCCAACGTAATAAAGTAGAATCACAATCAACTAACGGCAAACTTCACATTCATCTCCTGTCACTTCGATATGTTAAAGAAAATCCTTTACAAGTAATTAATACATAAAAATAAACCAAATGTAACTGATACGTATATTAATTAACAATTTCTGTGCATTTTAATTATAATTAAAAGCCTTAAATAAGTGAAAAAGTGTAGTCTTATTAAAATGAGTGGTAGTAGGTCAGGTAGACAAAATCGTGGTCCCGTCCCAAACAGATGGTTAAAATGTCCCAGAAGGGCTACTGATCTTATTGTGGACAAATTTCTAGCATTTAAAACCCCTCTCGATCATAACTTTGACAACCTGGTGCCATTGGAATGTAGATTTCCGCCTCAATTCATATTCGATTTTGCTAAATTGAGGAAGTTAAAACTCGGTCTTTGGATTGATTTAACGAATACAACGAGGTTTTACAACAGTGATGAGGTTAAAAATCAAGATTGTCGCTACACAAAACTGCAATGTAGAGGATTTGGAGAAACTCCAAGCAAAGAACAAACAGCTTTGTTCATTAAAATTGTTCATAAATTTATTGCTCAGCACCCTTTACACTTTGTTGCTGTTCATTGTACTCACGGATTTAACAGAAGTGGGTTTTTAATTGTTAGTTATTTGGTCGAAGAAATGGATTTCGATATACAAGTTGCTTTAGAAATGTTTTCTAAAGTTAGACCTCCCGGTATTTATAAACAGGAATATTTGGATGAATTATATAGAAGGTATGGTCAAAAAGACGATGAAGTTCCTCAAGTTACTTCGATGCCAGATTGGTGTGGTAATACATTATTTTTTTTAGTTTATGAGTAAAAAAATAACATTTTTTTTTCTTTTAATAAGATGAAGACGAACAAGATGACTATTATAGAGAAACTCCCGATTTTAATGCTCCCACTTCTTCAAATTCAACACCGTAATTAATTAATTAATAATTAATCCCACTTCTTTTTATTATATTTCTCTTTTTAGTATGAATAATCAAAATCATCGACGAAAAAATGGGAGGATTCCAGTTTTCATGGAAGGCATACCTGGTGTAAAAGTCTTTGATGAGCAACCGAAAGCATTGGAACTCCAAAGAAAAGTTCAAAGGATGTGTAATTGGGGAAAAAAGGGATTTCCAGGATGCCAACCTGTTTCGATGGATATGGATAATATTCATTTATTGCATAAGAAACCTTACCGAGTGTCTTGGAAAGCAGATGGAGTTCGTTACATGATGTTAATTGATGGGGAAGATGAAGTGTATTTTTTTGATAGAGATCATAGTATTTTTAAGGTTACAGGAGTCAGATTTGTTTATAGAAAGAATTTAATGCAACATTTACAAAATACTTTAATTGACGGGGTTAGTATTGATTATTTTATTAAAAAAAGTTAGTTCTAGCCTAATAAAATACTAATATACTATAATAATAATCACAAGCCTGCAAAAATTAATTTCATAAAAAACTTTTTAGATTATTTATGGTGATCTAACAGTTTTGAAAGGTGCTGAATCTGAAAATGAGTTTTTTTTCAATCACCCACCATGGTATGAATATAACTGTTATTATTCCTCTTGTGAGTAACACCTGGATTCCCTCAATGAAGTGACCAGCACTAGTCACCCATCGTACTGACATTCCAACTACCCTGATATCTCCTCTCCATGACCTTAATATCCTGATGAAAACGTTCACGCTATTTACTGGTACTACCCAAGTTTTCAGGGAAAAAATTCAAATAAGAATGTAGAAAGTTAACTTTTATGCTCATCAGTCAGCCCATTTTTTTGAGGTTTTCTTTTAGTTTTTCCTCTGAAAAGTGTAGAAGTTATGTACAGACGCGTTGAAAGCAGTCACCATGATATTTGTTGGGTTGGCCATACTTTTTTCCTTGCTCTGCTGTCCCATTCCCAAACGCCCAAAACTTTGAGATCGCCACAAATTTTCCAGTTATGATCTGTATATTTAATTTTATTTAGTACCTTTTTCAAATTCTCGTAATTTTTTTTGAGGTGTACATAATGTCTTAGAGGAGGAGAGGCACATATTGTAACTATTGAAGAATCAATGAATATCCTTCATTTATCAGCTTTGTATTCAATTCCAAACTTTTGAACCAAACACAATAGTAGACTAACTCGCCTTCTTGTTTGAAATAGTCAGTAAATTCACGATTTCTAAATCTGTACTGATAAAAAGATGTTCCAGCAGCCAGTAGCTTTTTTCTTTTAATCTAGAACCCAAGAGTTCAGCATTCTTTTTGGTAAGTCCCAAATCTCTCATCAAATCATCAAGCTCAGATTGAGCAAAAGTTGTGGGGTGGCATAATCTGAAGGATCACTAGAGATCATCTCACCTAGCGTTGGTGGAGGCTGAGGTACAGGCACATCTGATCCATGAGCTACAGGTCGCATTGCAGAAGGAAAGTTGTGGTACACTATATCTCTTTTATTCTTAGAGTTATAGCCATTAAAATCACATAACACACTTTGTGAGGTGCCCATAATTTGTCCTGGTCCCCAAGTCTCTCACCGATATAGGAGTAATACACTTTCCTAACTGTAATGTCGTGCCTGTCTGTAATGTTCCTCTGGTGTTTTTTAATGACAAGTTGTTGACACGAGCGGAAACAACACACAAATGAGCGCGTAAAAGTGTGTTTGTGTTGAAATGAATCAGACAAGTGGGGTACTGAGGATGATTCATTCATGACAGGATGAGAGTACAACTTAAAATTTGTGAGACATGCAAAAATAAATTAAATTTGCGAAAAAACTAAGGGTGATGAAAATTTTTCATTATTTTTCCCGGATTCAGCACCCAAAAATTAATAAAGATCGCCTTTCAGTTTTAAAAAAGGTTTTTCATCGAAAAAGAGCCGTCTTTAGAGACGTACAGCTAAACCCAAATGTTTCTAAATCTAGTATTAATTATATCTATGACCACTGATATTTATATTTAAATATACTGATGTAGTTAATAGATAGTATTAATACCACGGCTTAAAAATATTTCGAGGTTTAACTATAGTGTTTTTCAGGAAATGGTTATAGATAAAGTTAAAGATGAAAGAATTCCTAGATTCTTAGTTTATGATATAATAATGTTTGATGGTAAAGATATTGGGGTAAAATCGTTTTTCCCTGAACGTTTACAATTCATAGAATATGAAGTGGTTAATCCAAGATACTGGGCGATTGAAAAAGGATTAATCAAAAAAGATTTGGAACCGTTTAGTGTAAGAAAAAAAGAATTTTGGCCGATTACTCAAGCAGTAAGCTTGTTGGGCGAAAAATTTGCGAAGAGTTTATCTCACGAACCGGACGGATTAATTTTTCAACCATCAAAAGAACCGTATGTTACTGGTCAATGTGACGAAGTTCTTAAATGGAAACCTTTAGAATTAAATTCAGTTGATTTTCGATTAAAACTGACTAGAAAAGGAGGAGAAGGGTTTGAAATAATTTATTTCTCAATTTATCTAAGTATATATCATTTTCTTTTTTATAGGCTTGTAACAAAAACAGTTGGTGAGTTGTATGTGGGCCAATTTGATAGACCTTTTGCACATATGAAATATACACGTACCCTTCAAGATTTGGATAATAAAATAATTGAATGTAAATTTGAAGATGGTGTGTGGAAATTCATGAGGGAACGTACTGATAAATCATTTCCAAACAGTTACAACACTGCAAAAAGTATTAAATCAGATTGCAAAAATTACGTTAAAAGAAGCAATTACCATTCTTTTTTTTTTTTTTTTTAGGTGTTTGTCAAAGTATAAAAAATCCTGTAACAAAAGATCGTCTAATTGACTTCATAAATAATCATAGATTCGATGATGATTGTGAGAAAATGCCGCCGCCCTCTAAAAGAGTACGTCGCACATGACGTTATTTATTTTCCCTTACAACGTACAATTATCGATATTTAATTATAATATTGTTTTTACTGAAATGTATTGATAAAAATTGAAATTAAACGATCATGAACCTTATTAAAATGTGATTTATTTTCTAAAATCAACCATAACCACATCTTATATACACAAATAAAACTGAATTAACATTATAATAAAATAAATTATTTATTAGAAGTAATACTTATTGAATTATTTAAACAGAATTAGGCCGTTTATGTTATTACATTTTTGATTGCTCGATGTATTGATAATTCCCATCAATTTCCTTCACTTTTTTCTCTCTAACCAATTTTGTTAAATGATGTTGAACATTGTAAGCGGCTGCTAAATACAATTCTTTAGGGGTTTCAATGTAAATCGCCTCCACCAATTGCATAGGTGTATATTTTCGTTTAGGTTCGGTAGTTAAGACACTCATTATTTGATTTTCTCGTTGTTTTCTGTGATCTATGTAATATTGAATTTTTTCAATCGGCTCATGAATGATATTTCCATGTCCAGGATAAATAATTGATGGCTGAATATCCAAAATACTCTCTAATGAATTCATATAATCGTATAAATCCTCAAAAACAGCTGTTCCTTCACCCAGAATACAATCGCAACTAAATACAGCGTTATCTTCAAGTAGATGAAGCACAACATGGTCTGTTGTATGTCCTGGGGTGTGAACAATTCGTATAGTAGCACCTTCAACTTCAAATTCTTGACCATCTTTCAAAAAATCAAAGGAAATGTTATTTGGAAGCTCTTCAACTTTAACATCAGTTCTTGGATATTTCCAAACTTGACAATATTCTATAATTTTTAAAGTAATTTTATTAAAAGTCGAATTTAAGGTTATTTATTTATTCTTACTCGTATGTTCCTTTATTTGCATAACATCAGAAACACCCCCAATGTGGTCATGATGCCAATGTGATATAAATATATGTGCCAAATCAATTCCATTTTGTTTAAGAACCGATTTAAGATGATTTATGTATTGTGGTACATCAGCATCGCCAGTATCTAATAAAATTCGCCTTGAAAAGAAAATATTTACAATAAGTTAATGCACTATAATTAGATGTTCAAAGATAAATACCTTTTTCCTGTTCCAATAATGTAGGTGTTAGTACCTTGGAGAGTCATAGGCCCCGGATTTGCTCCAAGAACTCGGATAATTCTTGGGGAAAGTCTGCTTACACTTGGTATCACAGCTGCCATTCTTAATAATGTTATAAACCTAAAAATTTATGCTTATTTCAACCTAAACATGTTTATTTTTCATTCAATTTTACATTATTATTAAAAAACAAAGTGACGTTTTAAACGTCAAAAATTGTAGCTTTAGGTTATGTTGACATGTCATCGTTATGTAATTTAAATAAATCTATTTTAACTTGCAAAGTATATTTATTACTTACAGATTTGACAAGAAATATAAACTAGAAGAAAGATAAACTCCACTTAATAGGATTAAATTTCTTGTAGTATGCTTTTCGATTGCCCGAAATATAGAGCTAAGATTGCATCTGAGCGAAGTTTATATGTAAATCAGTCCGAGTGGAAAAAGGCCGACTCATTCATTACTGATATTGCTAATAAAGATTGAAATTATTATTATACCGGTTTAAACCGACGTTGGAGGTCAAGACTTGATCTTAAATGAGGAATAATCTTAATTTAGTCGATTTGCTTTGATTTATAAGTTATTTTTAAAATAATTTCACTAAAATATTTATTTAATTTAAATAAAAAGATAGATAGTTACTATAACAACATACCCCTTCTTTTTTTATAACAAACTTTCTATCAAGGGATCAATCACAGTTTCTCTTTGTCAAATCGTTTTTATCCAGGTAGTACCTTTATAAAGATGTTAATTCGCGCAACGATACTCCTCATAGTTACTTTATTAGCACGTTATTCATCAACAACGGATATAACATCGTTGATGGAGAAAGGCGGTGTAGTTCCGGATGTTATAGACACAGCCCCGAAGACCAGTTTAGAAGTCCTCTACGCAAATAACGTGAAAGTAGACGGTGGAAATGAATTAACGCCAACGAAGGTTAAAGATGTACCTAATGTTAAATGGCAAGCAGAAGAAGGTTCATATTATACTTTAATTATGACCGACCCAGATGCTCCAAGTAGGACAAATCCAAAAATGAGGGAGTGGCATCATTGGTTGGTTGGAAATATTCCCGGAAATGATATTAAGAAAGGTACGACTTTATCGGAATATATCGGATCTGCTCCACCGAAAGATTCCGGTTTGCATCGTTATGTTTTGTTGGTGTTTAAACAACCCGGGAAGGTTGAATTTTCTGAAGATAAATTAACTAATAAAAGTGGAAAGGGGCGAGGAAAATTTAATACTAAATCATTCGCCCAAAAATATAATTTGGGAAATCCCATCGCCGGAAATTTTTTTAAAGCTCAATGGGATAATTACGTGCCTACAATTTATAAACAATTAAGTGGTTAAATGTTTTATCTATTTGTTTATTGGAAATGTTATGAAAGAATTAAAAATCATTTTTTGATCATAAAAGTAAAATTTGTATTATTTAACCCCAAAATTTGAGATGACATTTCAAACGTCAAAAAAAAATATAAAACATAACCTTAACATAAAATTAGTAATTTGAAAATATGCAACAAATAAATAAAAATTTATTCGTATTTATTTAAATATTATATAATTTTAGTTTCAAAAACAAATTTATCTTATTGATTTTTTTGGGACAGCCAAAAATGTTGTTATTGCTTCCTTTGGAATAACAAGAAAGAATTATTTGAGTATATCTCAAAATTTTAACGGAATTCGAGACTATGTTATCGTAAACATTAAGAAACAACAACGGATTATTCACTTATGTTTATAGTTTAAACAGACACAATAAGGATGACCTCATAAGAGAGTTAAACGTGAGTAGGATATTGCTCTTTAATAAAGGATTAAAGGTCGATGTTGAAACTACGACGTTTATATTTTAAAGTTTCTTATTTTTAGCATATTGTAAATTATAATAAACACTAAACAAGAAGAAATTAAAACATAACAAAATAGTACTATAAATATTCATTCACTGAATTGTAAAATTAAGATAAAGTGTTTAAAAAACGATTTATTTGGGTCTAAAAACCTAGTTGATTAGATCCTAAACAAATTTCATAAACAGAATGATGCAGTGGATTTTGTTCAGAGGTTATCATAGAAGAAAGAACAAATTTTTTAGCTATTTTATAAACAAACTATTTTGTCTTGACTCCCTTACTAATAAATTCCTTGGTATGGAGTAAAAACGAGAAAAAAGTAAACAATAATAGTAACATGTGATAAAAACGTGACATATCCTCGTTGTGGACGTCTTTAGCGGATGCGAGTCCAATGTTACAAGAGATAACGATGTTTATGTTCATTGAGGGTCGTTAAAATAAAAATGAAGGTAATCCCAGTTCATCACAAGAATTCACAAGTCCATTAAAAACATGTTAAAAATTTTAATGAGTTAAATTATAAATAAAGTACAAGAATAAGCATATTTATTGCATTAGGCTGATGTCCTGATCTCGTAAAGGAATTTTTTTTTGATAACGGCGTGGTTTAAAGTACACTTTGACTAACTGCGCATTTTGACTACGTTTTCCAAGTTAAAACAGAAAAGATCAAAGTTTCATTCCCAATGTTATTTGAAGATGATCTTAACAAGGATATTTAGAAGATAAAAATGTTTATAAATAACTGGACCATTTTTAACCTGTTATTTATAACCTATCTAACAAAAAGATTTTTGAATATGTTCAAAAATATTTAATCCAAAAATATGATTTTAATTAAATTAAAGCGCCATCTATCGTATAATTACTTTATTATATAAAGAAAACTGTTTTAATCCTGCACCAATTACAATTTTTGTAAATAACATTTATTGCTTTTCTGCAAGGCTATTAATAATTTTATTCCTTTCATCAACGTACGAATCCCATTGTGCTTTATAAAAGTTCCCTGCGATCGCTTCTCCTAAATCGTATTTCTTAATAAATTTCCTCAAATTGAAGTTTAATCGATGCGATCGTGATAATTTTTCGGTTCTTGGTTCATCAAAAGTAAATTTCTCTTTTTGTTTGAACAATAAAAATATGTATCTATGCAAGCCAGTTCCTTTCGGCGGCCCAGAGCCTAAATACTCAGTTATTGTATCGGCATTTTCTAAGTTTCCATTCAAAATGTTGCCGATTAACCAATGATTTACTTCTCTAAATGTGTGGTTGTCTCTACTTGGCGCATCTGGATCAACCATCGCCAAAGTGTAATAAACATCTTGTTCAGGTTCAAATTTTATTGTTGGTGGATCTTTTACTTGGGTAGGAGTTAATTCTTCTCCTAAATTAACCTCTTCCCCACCTGAATAGGTTATGATTAATTTTTTATCGGGCGATTTGTCGATTACATCGGGAATTATTTCTTCTTGCTCAAATTTCTATGGAATTTTATTAATAGTTTTATAAGTAAAAGGAGTTGTTTGAAATACTTACTGTTTTAATCATGTTTGTGTTAGCTGTTGAAAAGAAAACTAAAAGAAATAAAAGTGATATGATTTGCGAATGCATGTTGGTCGTTGTAGTTTAAAATACTGTTTAATTTACTTTACCTTGTGGTACGTAGAAGTAGATGAGGTAATTGGTTAGAGAGTAGTGGAAAAGAGAAATGATTGACCTCTATTTATTCTTTATTTAATTAATCAGTTATCACAAAGAAATCTCTTTATTGTTACATAAATATACAGATAATATTCTTATTAACATCTTATTGTATCTTTTATCTACAAAAATAATCATCTGATATAATTTATTTATAATTTAAACTAATATACATAAAATTCCGTTTTATTTTTGTATTTTAGTTTAATTATTAAATTCTAAACCTGATTAAATACTGAATTACTTTCTTGAGATATGGTACAGTTTTTTTTAAAAGCACCAGTCCGGCTGGTTATGTCAAAAATATTTTCAGAAAATCTGATTTTGATTTAAAATGAATTCAAACTTGTTCCCTCGATTGATCATTGAGCTAAAAATTACTCTCTACATCTTACATTGATTTAAAAATTAATAAAAAGTAAAACGTTTATATCACATGATAAGAGAAAAAAATGTATATCATTAAAAATAAAATGTTAACTAAGCCGGGAATGTATCGCGTTGTTGTAATAGCTCGAATTAAGACTCATCGGTGGCTGCAACAGAAAATAAATACTTTTTAAGATGATTTAAAGATTAATTTTTGTAATTTAATCAGATATAATAACCCATGAAGCATGCAAAACATCATCAAATAAACAGACATTATTTTTTTCCATGCATAAATCCAATTTGGAATATTCTCCTTTTTAAAAAACATTATAATCTTTTTTCCAATGTTCAGAAATACAATTTCAGAATATTTACCGGAGTTCCAATCTTTTGCAAATACTTATTTCTTATTTGTATGTCTGAACTTGGTTGCATTGCGTCACCTGAGCTTTCACCTTCCTCCTCATTCACGTCCTTTAGCAGTCTTTCTTTATCTTGACTCGTCCTACATCAAAAAATTATTAAAAAAAAATAAGCTAATTAAGAAAAATTGTATCTCACGATAAATACATTTCCCTCTGTTCACGACGTAACGGTGACATATTCAACGTTCCATCACATCTTCTGTCCCAAATCCACAAACAGATTGTAGCCATAAACGAAACTTAAAAAAATAATTAAATAAAATTAACAACCTCAAATAAAACATCCTTACTCGCCAATGAATACAAAAAGAACATTTCCAACCAAAAATACCCATAATGATGTTGAATGAATCCAGTTAATAACGATATCACAGCCATACCTAAATTTTGAACAGCTTGGCAGCTAAAAAAAGATAAATTAAATCTTTTTATGTAATAATTTCGATTTCATCATATTAATTACATTCCATAAGCAGTCCCCAAGTGGTGCTCAGGTACTAAAAGTGCCACCAAAGGCCATAAACCACTCGCCAATAATGAATATCCAATTCCCATGATGGCCATACCCACGTAAGGATTTAAATAAGTAAAAATGATGATGGAATGAGCGATCGCAGTCGTTATTATGGAAATTACAACGAATGTTAAGTTTCTACCCGCCTTATCAATTAAATAGCCCAAAAATGGGGATGCTACACCGGATATTAAATAAATTATGCTATTTACGTTATTGGCTTGTTGTGGTTCTAAATTAAATCGTTCTATAAAAAATTGCCTTAAAAAAAAGATCAAATTAAAAATAAACTTTAAATAATCTATTTTTTTTTTTTGATAACTTACTTTCCTAGAGCTATAAAAGGGAAAATAGTCACATAATAAGCGGTTATTATAACTGAAACGAGCCAAAAAGCACTCGGAAAATCTTTAACGCTTAACAAATTGGCTAAAGGAGATATGTTCGTTTCAGTTTGTTGTCTTCTTAAAAGCCTATCGGCTCGTTTATTCATACAACCAAGAAATAAGGAACACACCATCGATATTATACACGAAAATCCGGCTATAAATAATGCTAAACCTAAACATTCGTATCCCGTATAAGTATGTCCAACCCATTGGTAAATAGATTCCATAATCCAAAAGTTTACGGTACTTCCAATTCGAGCTAAACTCAATTGAAGCCCGAAAACCATATTCAATTCTTTCCCTTTAAACCAAAGTACTGCATAATTATTTTGGGCAACAGCTAATGATTCACCACCAGTTCTAAAATTAATTATATGTTTTGTATGGAGTGTGTACTAATTTTTGTTTATAGATATACATAGTTATTTAATTAGTTTAGTTGGGTTGCACATCTATTAGTAGATGTTTTGTACTTAATTTGCTCCAAGTTTTGTCTTAATTTGCTTAAAGTGCTCTAGCACTATCACTAGAACTAATACTAGACCTAGAATCATTCGGGTTTAGCCATCTTGAAAGACGTGCGGCTAAACCCGAATGTTTCTAGTTCTATTTGTTTTCAAGAAAACTTCCGAAAATGTAATATATAATATTATTACTAATGCAAGGACGAATTCAATGGTAATTTTTAGCTTAAAAGTGGGTATTTTGTAGAGAAATAGATTGTGAAGCTACTTTCTAATGATTTTTTGTGCCTTATAATACTCGTAAGTCATTTTCATGAAAATATGTAGTTACGTTCTTGTGATCCTAAATCCTCGACTAGTACTGTTACTATGTAGAACTAATACTGTACCTAGAACTAGAATCATTTGGGTTTAGCAGCACGTCTCTAAAGACGACTAAACCCTAATGATTCCAGTTCTTGGTCTAGCGCTGCATTACAATTAAAACTAGAATTAACACTAGACCTAAAACTAGAAACATTCTGTTTTAGTCGCACGTCTTTCAAGACGGCTAAACCTGAATGATTCTAATTCTAGGTCGTGTTAGTCCTAGTGATAGTGCTAGTATAAAACTAGAACTAACACTATACCTAGAACTAGAATCATTTGGAATTAGCCGCACGTCTCTAAAGACGGCTAAACCCGAATGATTCTAGTTCTAGGTATAGTGTTAGTTCTACATCATTTGGGTTTAGCTGCACGTGTCTAAAGACGGCTAAACCCGAATGATTCTAGTTCTAGGTATAGTGTTAGTTCTACATAGTAACAGTGCTAGTGTAAAACTAGAACTAACACTAGACCTAGGACTAGAAATATTCGGGTTTAGCCGTCTTGAACGACGTGCAGCTAAACACGAATGTTTCTAGTTCTAGTGTTAGTCTAGTTTTATTTGTTATTCAGGGCTAGATTGTTGTATATTTTTATTGAGGTTATATCGAGGTTTTACTGTAATGTCAAATTATATTGACATGTTGCATTGTATGTAGGACAAAGTAAGTTGGTACGCCCTGTTTTCTATGGAAATATGTTTTTGTATATTGCATCTTAAGTAAAATTCAATGTATATCTATAAACAAGTTTTATTTAATTTTCTTAGTTTAGAATTTATAGAATATTATTTAGTTTATTCTTCAAAATATAAAAAAAAATTTTATTAACATATTTTTGTAAAATAATAAAAGATGGCGTTGCCTAAATTACAAAAAGTCACCTGTCAAAACTTCAAACTGAGTTAAAATAAGCTCTCCAACCTTTTTTTTATTGAATGTAAGTACAAACCTTTATAAACATTTAATTTTCATTACTTTTTAATTTTACATACCCAAAAATAAATCGTCCCAATGCCATAACCCAAAATTCATTTTGTATTGTACCATAAGCAAAAACGACTTGACCTAATAACGTTAAGAACATGTATATATTTGTTCCAAGTCCTATACCAAAAACACTTAAAGAAAAAGTTGGTTTATTGTATAAAAATATTTCAATTTTGACCTACCTATCTAAAAGAAATCCGCCCACAAAACATAAAACAACATTTGGCCAGGAATACAATGAATACAACATAACGAAATGTTGACTGGTCATATTTAAATCTTTGGTAAAATAATCTTGTAAAGCTGCAGGATTATCATAACAAAAATATGAACCTGAAATACATAAAAAAAATAAATAAAAACGTCTTTATCTTTAAGGCAACTTTAATTAAGCTTTTCCGCATTCCTAAAGAATTTTTTATACACATGTGTATGGGATAAGGTCAAAAGATCAAAGATTAAAGCAGACTCAAAACAAAAAGGAATTATAATAATTGTATGATGTATACATACCAAACCCTAAGAAACACATAAAAAATAATGCTATAAATCGATGGGATTTTCCTCTGGGATCAAAGCAACTGTAATAACAGGTGTTTGTCATGTTTTCTTCATCCGAAGAGATAGTTAAATTGTCGGCTTCTTGGATATTTGGGCCTCCTTCCATGATTACTATTAAAAAATTGCAACACAAACTTATTTTCTTTGCACTTTAAGCTACGTCACAAATTGCGGAATACAATAATTTTTATAAATGAAATTCGATGAGTTCGCCGTCAATAATTAATCGTTATCTATCCACATATTCAATATCCGAATAATAAATAAACCGTTCGGATTATGCACGACTACACAAACACAAGTGGGTCATCCTTTACGTCCAGATTATTGTTTGAACTATTCTGAACGAGATTATTTTTGAGGTTCCTTTGTGTAACGGAGCTTGCGTATTAATCGATTCTGATACATCAGATTTCCTTTTGTAATGAAAAAATCGTCGACGGTTAACATAAAAACTGATAAATTCGTTTTGTGGTTAACTTTCTGACAGGAGAAAAAAATTTAGAAATTTAATTTTACAACGTCATTGTAATAATAAAAAAATCAATACGAATAATTTATGATGAAGTAACAATAATTAATAAAAAGTAATTTAAAACATTTTAAAACTAATTAAATTTATATAATTTGACCAGTATAAAAAGTGATTTGTATAAGAATTAATCATGTTTTGACATTTGACATATAATGAAGTTAGTTTCAAACCTTTTTCGCTCCAAAAGAAAACAATTCTAGTTTTTGAATTATTTACGTGAAAAAAGTGATTTTATAAATACATTTAAGTTATGGATAGAAGCATGTCTGGAAGTAGTGCAAATAAGGTATGTATGCTTCAATTTTTGTATTATTAAATTTATAAGAGGTTATGTATTAAAACACTTTTATCCTCGAAGGTTGGGGAGATTTTTACAGCAGCCGGAGCAGCGTTTAATAAATTAGGCGATTTAACAATGCAATTACACCCAAATGGGGATTGCCCAACAGGGTAAGATTAAAAAAAAATGATACATTAATTTTTAATATTTATATAATTAGAAAATGGACAGATGAAGAAATTGAGATGTTGCGATCGATTGTAAAGACATTTTCTGATAGTTTAAATCAACTAAGTGAGCATATTCGTTCTAGAACTGTGTAAGTGCATTATTCCCAATTTCTTCATTAAAAGATCTTAGGATGTTTACATTTATTGGTGTTTTAGGTCCCAAATTAGAACAGCTTTAAAAAAGAAGGCGTTTGAAGATGTTGGATTACCAGTTACGCAACATACACCTATAAGATCAGTTCAACAAAACTTACAATCCACAATTAAACAAGAACAGATAATAAAACAACCTTCGGAGGTGACACTAAACATGTTAAATGCCGCAGAATCTGAAGTTGATGTAGAAGGATTACCTGATGAAGTTAAACTTGAATTTGAAGCAAGCGCGGAGGAAGTTAGACCATAGAATTTAGATTATAAAAATAAAATATTTCATGCTTGTGAAAATATTTGTAATTTTCTCCCCCATTTTGGTTCAAAAATTTCATTAATTTTAATGAAATTTAGTTGTAATAAAGTTTCCTCAATTTTCTCTTCTACTTGGTGACGAATTTGAAGTTTTTCGTATCTTGGAAAAGTCTCATTTGATTTTTTCATCCTTCTTATGGCAGTTTTGTAACATTTCCATGGTTGTGGTTCAATAACAATCATTTTTGATATTTCACATATGCTTTTAATGAAATGAATCAATCCTTCATCTCCGTTATTTAAATGAATCCACATTGTTATCGAAAAACAAAAAGTTACATCAAATTTATTTTTATCTTTTAAATAATTTTTTAGTATTTCTATTCTTTCTGAATCATTTGTAAAATCTAAATGGGTAAATGTTATATTCTCGTTTTTATTGTTAACTTGTGCTCGTTTTATTAAAATGGGGTCTAAATCTACACCGAGAATTTTGATGGTTTTATGTAATTCTGTAAAATATTTATGTAAAGCTATTGTGAGGTCCTAAAAATGATTTTAAATACTTTAATACAGATGAGGATTCAAAACGATAATTTTTACCCCCGCATTACAACCAACATCCAAACAAACCATTTCATCGAAACTTTTCCAAGCATCACTTGGTAATAGATTTATTCTGGAATTGGGGGGATGAAATTGATAGTAATTTATGAAATTTCCATGTTTTACAGCTCCGGGATCATTTCCTTTAAAATTTAATTCATCCACGTTCATTATATGGAAGAAAAGTTGATTCTAACCTCAAAATATGACAGATTCCTATTTTAATCGGTAAATTAGTTCATATTAATACCAATAGATGGGGATATTAGGTATTTATTAAGATTTTTAGATTTGTATTTATTTTAATGACTAATTATTGTATTTATTTAAGTAAAATCGTTATGATTCATAAGTCTATAAGGAAAAATAATTAAAAAAAGGATGTTTCAAAATTTGATGATAATCCGGGTATGACTTAAACAAACTATGATGACATACGGGGACTAGCAAAAATTGATGACTTGAATGTAGGACAGATGGGGGAAACACGTGCGAAAAATTACGTGCATCTGTTCGTGACAGGTTGGGGTCAGATGATTTTTGTTTCCTAAGAAAGCTTATTTAAGCCTCACCTGTTATTCACAATAAAAAAACAAATTTTTTTTTATACAATGTTAGTCAAAAGAATCGAAATATTAACTTCTTTTTAGATTTCCATAGTTTATGTGAGCTTTTGCAACAGAAAGACACGTACAATTAGAACATGCGGCGCTGTTTTCAGGCTTGGCTTGACATTTCGCACGGACATAATATCGTAATATACATTAGAAATTGGTTTGTGCGTAAGCGTATTGCAAAAGCGGCGTTGATTTTCAAAAAAGAAAGAGAAAAAAATTCTTTCTAAGCGCCCGGTAAGCGTATGTGTATAAAGGCGAGTTGCGGAGAGATCGAAGTCGAAGAGGTGAGGCAATCGGCCGACTTATTATGGAAATCGTTCGACTCCGGGAAAAATTCAAAACGGTTCGTTCGCCAACAGAAATGCCACACGACGTGGTCTGTGCGGCAGAATTAAAGTTGGCTTAGGTCAGCGAATCTGGGCCGCAACGCAGCATCATTGACAAGGTTGCAGTGCAATGAGGTCGGGGACACAGTATATCGTATACGATTTTAATTTTGCTTTATTAAACATTATAATTTTCATTGAGGGCCTTTTAAATCGCATTCATTTTGCGTATTAATCCAAGTAGATTGTTACAAAAAATTGGGTCAATTTATTTTGAAGGTGTTTCATCAAAAGATCCTTTTAAATCCACCATATCGAGTTCGACGCAACGCGTTTCATTGAGTCAGAAGTGTGTGCGGATCGGGACTTCTCCTCTTATGGTCCGTCTGGGTCGCTGTAAATGGACACGCGGCCACGGAGACCGTACGAACACGAAAACAGGTTATTTTCCCCCCAACCCCTCGACGTCCACCGGCAACGACGTTCAACTCGGTAGCGAGAGATCCGAATTGCTATGCCCCGTTCGTTGTGGGGCGAATTCTACTTCCAAAGGGGGGAACACAAAAAGACCAGAAGCGCACGAGATTTTCAGGGTTTGAACGAACCGTGCACGTGTTCAGTTGGTTCTTCTTGATGCTCTTTGTTTTTTGACCTCTGCCGGAGCTAATTGAAGTAAACCAGGCGTGCGCGTCGAAGTGAAATTAATAACCTTTATAGAATTTCAATCTGATATTGTATATACAGAGTGATTCAGATAAGTTTTCAAACTTACAATTAAATTATTATGACTCTGCTTGCTTATATTAGATGTTTAATATCACTTTAAGATTATTACAAAGTAATTTAGACTTTGTTACATAACCTCCATCCATACTAATAAGTTTTAGGTTGGTTTCATTTCTTCTTCTTAAAGTGCCATTCTGATTCCTGCATCACTCGCTTTTCCGTTCCGATTATTCTATTATGTGCAGCGTTCTGTAATGGCCACGATAATTTTTTTCTAGCTTAAGTTTGATCTTGCTGATATTAATTTTGGTATCACTTCGAGTGTTGTCAATTGTCAAAAGACGCGACTGTGTTTCGGAGTTTATTAAAACCCCAAGCTATGAAGCTGCGCAGAAAGTGAGTAGGTCATTCTCACACAGATAATGATGGGCCCTAGAAGGTTTCCAGAACTTGAAGCAACCCAACAGAATTCTACAGCGACAGAATGAAACATAAATAAAAATCCCCACCATGATGGAAAGATCATGACAGAATGTCAAGAAGGGCCAGAGGTCGTTTGGCTTCAAAATGGAATATGAGGAAGGATCGCCAAAGCAATTTTGTTCGAAAAACGAAGAAAACAACAGACTTATATATACTTTCAATAGTATAGCTGTCCAAATCCATAAAGGACATGCCTATTCATTAAATGATTGCTACCCGTGCCTTAATCGTCAATGACAACCCATTTAAATTTTAAATGGGGTTGGTTCTAGTTTTGCTCTAGCACTGTTACTAGAACTCATTCGGGTTTAGCCGTCTTGAGAGACGTGCGGCTAAACCCGATTATTTGTAGTTCTAGGGCTAGTGTTAGTTCTAGTTTTAGTTCTAGCATCAAAACTATTCGAACTCCAAAACCCGACCTGTGGAGCAAGAAAACGATAAAACCCCAAACTAGAAATCAGAAAAACAAGAATGTTATAATACCAATAGAAATCCTATGAATTTGACATTGATAGATATAAAAAGAAACAAAGTGTAGGTAAATTGGAAACACCTACTTTTCTGACAAAGTAAAATCACCATGACGCATAAATTCGTAATCAAGTACACAATGCACCATAAGATCCTTCTTTAATCTAATAATAAGTTTCACTTATAACGATACAAAATCAAAATTGAATAAGCACTTATGCACGATTAAAAAGATGTATAAAAGGAAGAGATTGAAACATGAAATTGTTTTAGAGTCGGAAATTTTGTAACGTTCAAGGAGAACATTGACGTATGACCGTTTCAACAGCGAGTGTAAATTGAGCTGAAATAATTTGCATACATTGATAAATTATTTTAGGCGTTTATTCGTGTACACTGCAAGTATTTAGCAATATTGATATGAGTTATAACATGGAAAGTTACTAAATGAGTATATGTACATGTATGTTGAACGACTACTAATTGTAGATGAATCATATTCTTGAAATATAAAAGTAAGATCACTTTTTCTTTAAAAAAAAAAACGTAATCGAATTTAATCCACATAAAAGAGTCACTCATTTAAATATAAATTCGTGACCGGTCTGGTCACTGAATATATTCGGTCTCTAAATATAGACCTTGGCGAAATTCGAACAAGATCGCAGTCACGTACCTCGCGGATCTCGGTCATAGGCGTGCGTGCGCCATCGAGAGAGGCAAACGCGAGCGCGCGCGCCTCTGACCCTGGGGCCAACCTTGCGAGAAGCCGGCGCAAAATGACCACGACGCCGTCGTCGTCGTTGAAATAAGAAAAAAAAACGCGTTCCGCGACGTCCACAATGGTCATTTATTGTGGGAGGGGAAACCCCCGTTGCGTCCCTCTCGGTGTATGCCCCCATAGCGGATGCTTATTGAATCGTTTACGAGTTTTCTCGGGAGGGAGAGAAGAACCGGTCACTTTTAAAGTCGCGGGGATAAATAAAGTTTATAGGTATGCTCACGGACCCCGTAATTGGGCGCCGCCTCGTCCTACGTGTATGAGGCACAAAGGGCATTTTGCCTGAACAATCCTCTTGAGTAGCTCGATTGTAAGTGGAAACGTGGGCGAAATGGATAACTGATGAACGTATTATGCTGAAAGGATTTTGTTGGATGTATGTGTTATCTATGGATGATTTTGTACTTAATAAAAGTTTTTCTTACTACATTAGCTAAGTAAGAATTATTTAATCTTCCTTCTAAGAAGCTTTCTTTAAAAGCTATTACAAAACCTTTTAAAAAAATGAAGAAAAATAAATAACGTTACGCGTCCATAACTCTCGAGAAAGAGTTAAGAGTCCAAGACGTTCGGCCAACAATAAACTGTGAGAGCAATTTGAATACCTCACTGGTCTTAATGCAAAATGTATTCGCGCGGTTCAAGTCGTTTTAACGACCGAAAGATAGCTAAGAGTCAAAAAAGAATGCCGCACCCTATAAAGAAAAGGACGCGGCCATCTGCCGCAGACGCCACAAGCGATTAACGCCCCGTTAATGGGGCTTTTACGACGCGTTAGTTTTGCAAAAAAAATCGCCTCCTCATTGATAAAGCAAAAAAAAATTAATTTTTCGATAAAATAAAAACTCTCTCGCTCCTTTGTTGCGTTATCTGCGCGTTATACAATCGATAATTGCATTGTATTTAGAAAAGATCACCTTGGATCTGATAGCGGATCGTTTCTTTATTGAATTTGCCAACAATACAATACTACCTGACTCTCTGATCTTGCTTAATTCCTTATGTAATGTCGCAGTAAGATTTCGTATTTCATTTTAAGTAATCTTAATAATCTTATAATCTTCTTAAAAATAAAAAAATTTTAATGTCAACGACAACATTCCATACATTTTTATTTTTTTAAACAAAAACGAAATCGAGGAGAACACTTTTTTTATTTTCTAAGGTGCTACTACAAGTTTTAAGTTTTGTTGGTCTCTTTGTTTTGATAAACTTAAATAGTTGAAAGGAAGATATAATGAAGAAGATATTGAGTTATATCTAGTTATATTATTATTAGATATCTAGTTTTAGGTCTAGTGTTAGTTTTGATGCTAGAACTAAAACTAGAACTAGACCTAGAACTAGAAACATTCGGATTTAGCCAGCTTGAGAGACGTGCGGCTAAACCCGAATGTTTCTAGTTCTTGGTCTAGTGTTAGTTTTGGTGCAGGAACTAAAACTAACACTGAATCACAATAAAAACTAGAACTAGAACTCGAAACATTCGGGTTTTGCTGCACGTCTCTAAAGACGACTAAACCCGAACTCTTCAGCTCTTCTTTCTAATATTCAGAAGGCACTTTGATGTTTTTTTATTTGAGCAGCAGTGTTCTTGACCCCATTTATGCTTTGTTTTTTTTTCGCTTCAGTAATTAACTTCTGTTTTTCTCTTTTGTTGTATCGTGAGGTGGAAGATCACATATTGAACCTCATCATAAGTTTGATCATCGTAGATATTTATTTTAAGTATTTTGTTCTTATATTTTTTTTGTATACATCTAATAAACCATTATTAGTATTATCAAACCCGAATGTTTCTAGTTCTAGGTCTAGTGTT